ACATGTTTGTATGTTATGTATAGTGTTTATTATATCATATTAGATCAATTCTGATAGATAAATAAGCCGTAGAGTTGTTATATAAGCTGATATAAGCGTAATAATGAAGTGATTTCTCCTGGCACTCTAGAGCGGTGGTAGGCCTAGTAGGCTCAAAGTCTACGGATAAGCTCCGCCTACTGTTTTATGACGCCAAATAGTCAGTTATTATATTAGAAAGAATAATGCAAGAAGAAGAGATAAAAAACAAGGGCGTTGACCCCCGGAACTCTCTCCAGGTTGTGAGCAGACGCGCTACCCACATCACAGTCACCTTACTTGATATAAATTACTATAAATTCTTGTAGAAACGCCGTAGAAAAAATCATTTTTGGTACCATTGTGTTGCAAGAGTTAAGCTATGTTTCATCGAACCATGCCCAGCCTTTTTTTAGGGTTAGGTGCCTGAGCCCAAGTTTCAGCTCCAAGATTTCATTCCCTTAGCCCCTTGGGGCGGGGGGGATGGCGGGCCCAGAGTAAGTAAGTAAGTTTATTCAGGTATACACAAATACAGTTACATAGAATTATCATACATAGCAGCATATGTGTAGATTAGATTTTAGATTTTGCCACCGAAGTGGCTAGTTTATTGTGCCCCCCTATCATCCTGTGGACGCTAGGCGAGAGCATATGGATACACAAAGGCCTAGGAACTAGGCCCAAAGGGGGTTAACAGGTGTACATATGGATTTATATCTACATATCTATAGTTCACTTATCTGTTACAAGCAAATTTAGGAAATTTGCTTAGTATATCTGGTATCTTATTTTCATTAATAAGATATCTTGACATGTCACATAGGTTATTATACTGTCTGTCTTTTGTATTCCTAATAAGTGGAAAATTTAAAGCACATAGTGTTCAAGAGAGTGACCATATGCCTGATCACATAATTTACATTTAGTTTGTCATCATCTGTGTGTCTCCCAAACTGCCAGAAGTACTTGTAACCAAGCCTAAGCCTGGCCACTACAACATCAGTCAGTACTTGTAACCAAGCCTAAGCCTGGCCACTACAACATAAGTCAGTACTTGTAACCAAGCCTAAGCCTGGCCACTACAACATCAGTCAGTCTGTTCACATTGCAAGTTGTCCATAAACATACTTATCTACGTTCATGTTATCATAGTGGGTTATAGATCTACTCAGGCTTCTAACTGCATTCCTATAACAATCATTTTCATTATTTACTTCTCTCCTAATATTATTCCTAATGCTAGACACAGATATACCAAAGTTATATTCTACGTTCTCCTTCTGGATACTCTTTTTGGCTAACATATCAACTTTATCATGAAGGAGTAATGCAATGTGTGATGGGATCCATAGCAATTGTACATTAATTTCTTTGTCCCTAATTTTTGAGTATCTATACCTGGCTTCCCCAATGAGCATGTTGTTGGAGTCATTATATGAGTCAAGAGCCTTCAATGATGACATAGAATCAGTAATGATGATAGAGTCAAGCTCAGTGTCATAGGTTAGCTTTAGCGCCATTAGGATTGCAAACAATTCAGTTTGCAGTGTAGACGCCCAGTTGTTAATTCTTATGCCTAACTCAACAAATTTATGTGTAGAGAACCTGGGATAACCCAAAAAAGTCAGACAGAGTGACTTATTTCCATTGGGGTCCTTTTACCTTATTATAATACAAAGGTTATAATATTTTCTTATTATTCTACAATGAAGATAACATCTTATTATCATACTAAAAAGACTATCTACTACACCAAGGTCATTAAGACTATCTACAATACGAGGGTCATTACTAGGAATAAGGTAAAAAAATTACACGTATGTTAGCTAAAAAATAGAAAATCATTCCCCTCCCTTTCTGTAGCTACATTCATCAGACACCTTTTGGCAGGCTTTTGAACTGGTTCACGCTTTGACTGGCTTTGACATGTGCGGGCAGTCTGTCCATTCCTTTATTGCTGTACAATAAAGGGGTGTTTGAAGCCGGGCCCACTGACTGTGGCTATACAAAGTTGTGCTCTCCCCCCCTGTTACTATGATTATTTCTCTCCCCCTAGTACTATGATTGTTCTCTCCCCTAGTACTATGATTGTTCTCTCCCCTTACTATGATTGTTGTTCCCCATATTTACTATGATTGTTCTCCCCCCCTATTTACTATGATTGTTGTCTCCCCCTAGTACTATGATTGCTTTGGCTCCCAACCTTGACAAAATTGACGGGCAAGATTTTCTGGACTTGTTTGTGAGCAATTTTATAAAACATGATTTAGCTTCAGTTGTTTTACTCTGTCTTCAACATTCAGCATATCCAACTGCTGTAATTCATCCTGGCCTACATGTTCTCTTGGTCCCAGCCCCAGGATGAATCTTACGATTTTGTTCTGGGTGATTTGCAGTCTATCTTTCAGTTTTTTTGTCAAGGCAGAGTACCAAGAAGAGCAAGCGTAATCCATATGGCATTGTATAAGGGCTAGACATAGGGTCCTGCGAGCCTCAGTAGGTAGACTCTGTGCTTGTCTATACAGGAACTTCAGTCTGGCATTCGCTTTCTTTGCTACACTGTTCCCTATCAATTCTCCTGACATGCATGGGTGAAAGGGGATTCCCACTCCACAAAGGGGGCAGTAAAGCAACAGCAAAGAACTACAGACCGGTAGCACTAACATCCCATATCATAAAAATCTTTGAAAGGGTCCTAAGAAGCAAGATCACCACCCATCTAGAAACACATCAGTTACACAACCCAGGGCAACATGGGTTTAGAACAGGTCGCCCCTGTCTGTCTCAACTATTGGATCACTACGACAAGGTCCTAGATGCACTAGAAGACAAAAAGAATGCAGTTGTAATATATACAGACTTTGCAAAAGCCTTCGACAAGTGGGACCATGGCGTAATAGCGCACCCAAAATTTCGTGCTAAAGGAATAAAAGGAAAAGTCGGTCGATGGATCTATAATTTCCTCCTAACAGAACACAGAGAGTAGTCGTCAACAGAGTAAAGTCCGAGGCAGCTACGGTGAAAAGCTCTGTTCCACAAGGCACAGTACTCGCTCCCATCTTGTTCCTATCCCCATATCTGACATAGACAAGGATGTCAGCCACAGCACCGTGTCTTCCTTTGCAGATGACACCCGAATCTGCATGACAGTGTCTTCCCTTGCAGACACTGCAAGGCTCCAGGCGGACATCAACCAAATCTTTCAATGGGCTGCAGAAAACAATATGAAGTTCAACGATGAGAAATTTCAATTACTTTAGATATGGTAAACATGAGGAAACTAAATCTTCATCAGAGTCAAAAACAAATTTGGCCACAAAATAGAGCGTAACACCAACGTCAAAGACCTGGGAGTGATCATGTCGGAGGATTCACCTTCAAGGACCATAAAATTGTATCAATCGCATCTGCTAGAAAAATGACAGGATGGATAATGAGAACCTTCCAAACTAGGGATGCCAAGCCCATGATGACACTCTTCAGGTCACTTGTTCTAATCTAGGCTGGATATTGCTGCACACTAACAGCACCTTTCAAGGAGGTGAAATTGCTGACCCAGAAAATGTACAGAGAACCTTCACGGCGGCCCTAACGGAGATAAAAAAACCCCAATTACTGGGAGCGCTTGAGGTTCCTTTAAAACCCGTATTCCCTGGAACGGGAGGCGGGAGAGATACCCTGATTATATTTCACCTGGAAAATCCCAGAGGGACTAGTACCGAACTTGCACACGAAAATCACTCACTAAGAAAGCAAAAGACTTGGCAGACGATGCAACATCCCCCCAATGAAAAGCAGGGGTGTCACTAGCACGTTAAGAGACCATACAATAAGTGTCAGGGGCCCGAGACTGTTCAACTGCCTCCCAGCACACATAAGGGGGATTACCAACAGACCCCTGGCAGTCTTCAAGCTGGCACTGGACAAGCACTTAAAGTCGGTTCCTGACCAGCCGGGCTGTGGCTCGTACGTTGGTTTGCGTGCAGCCAGCAGCAACAGCCTGGTTGATCTGGCTCTGATCCACCAGGAGGCCTGGTCACAGACCGGGCCGCGGGGGCGTTGACCCCCGGAACTCTCTCCAGGTAAACTCCAGGTCTTTGACGTTGGTGTTGCGCTCTATTTTGTGGCCAGAATTTGTTTTGTACTCTGATGAAGATTTAATTTCCTCATGTTTACCATATCTGAGTAATTGAAATTTCTCATCGTTGAACTTCATATTGTTTTCTGCAGCCCACTGAAAGATTTGGTTGATGTCCGCCTGGAGCCTTGCAGTATCTGCAATGGAAGACACTGTCATGCAGATTCGGGTGTAATCTGCAAAGGAAGACACGGTGCTGTGGCTGACATCCTTGTCTATGTCGGATATGAGGATGAGGAACAAGATGGGAGCGAGTACTGTGCCTTGTGGAACAGAGCTTTTCACCGTAGCTGCCTCGGACTTTACTCTGTTGACGACTACTCTCTGTGTTCTGTTAGTGAGGAAATTATAGATCCATCAACCGACTTTTCCTGTTATTCCTTTAGCACGCATTTTGTGTGCTATTACGCCATGGTCACACTTGTCGAAGGCTTTTGCAAAGTCTGTATATATTACATCTGACATAATATGCGGGAAATGCTCAACATAACAAGGGACTTTCTATATAGTAGTATGTCACTGATGTCGGTTATGGTCTGTATACCTTGTACATGTACTTGTATACCTTGTACATGTAATTGTATACCTTGTACATGTACTTGTATACCTTGTACATGTACTTGTATACTTTGTACATGTACTTGTATACCTTGTACATGTACTTGTATACCTTGTACATGTACTTGTATACCTTGTACATGTACTGGTAGTAAATAAAGATATTATTATACTAAGCGGTAATATAAATATGGCGTATTAATGGTAGTTAAACTACCAAATTACTTGTGAGGAAGCGAGGGAGTGATTCTGAGTTGGGGGAAGAGGTTGTGTAGCTGGCAGGTGACAGTGTTGGTGACACAGGTGTGTAGCTGGCAGGTGACAGTGTTGGTGACACAGGTGTGTGGGGTTGACCACTGGTCGTGTCGGTTCTTAATATGACCCCAGCGAAGAGGTCATAAAAGGAAAACCGAATTTGAGCAATTACAGCCCAGGTGGCCGTCGACAGATGTGGATTTAGCTCTCTCAAGGAATCTGGAAATCTGCCAAATCTTCAGATCAACTATATTGACCAGTATGAATAGGTAAGATTCGTCAGGAAACAGAATATATGATGACCCACAACTGGAGGTTTTGGTCATCTGACCGAAACCTTCCACTGGCTTACCCCTCCACCACTTTAAAAATTATGGTCGTAATTATAACCATTGTTTCAACCAACCAAAATATTAATCTGGTGAGTAATCTAGTACGTTCTTTATATTATTAATTGAATACTGATTTACATCTATATATAATTACCCAAATAACTCGGGTCAAGTTTATTCAGGTATACATAAATAGTTACATAGATTATCATACATAGCAGAATATATGTAGACAACCTGGGATATCCCAAAAAAGTTAGTGACTTATTTCCACTGGGATCCTTAAATTTCCACTGGGATCCTTAAATTTCCACTGGGATCCTTAAATTTTCACTGGGATCCTTAAATTTCCACTGGGATCCTTAAATTTCCACTGGGATCCTTAAATTTCCACTGGGATCCTTAAATTTTCACTGGGATCCTTAAATTTCCACTGGGATCCTTAAATTTCCACTGGGATCCTTAAATTTCCACTGGGATCCTTAAATTTCCACTGGAATCCTCAAATTTCCAGTGGATCCTCAAATTTCCAGTGGATCCTCAGATTTCCACTGGGATCCTCAAATTTCCACTGGGATCCTCAAATTTCCAGTGGATCCTCAAATTTCCAGTGGATCCTCAAATTTCCAGTGGATCCACAGATTTCCACTGGGATCCTCAAATTTCCACTGGGATCCTCAAATTTCCACTGGGATCCTCAAATTTCCACTGGGATCCTCAAATTTCCATTGGGATCTTCAAATTTCCACTGGGATCCTCAAATTTCCACTGGTATCCTTAAATTTCCAGTGGATCCTCAAATTTCCATTGGGATCCTTAAATTTCCATTGGGATCCTTAAATTTCCATTGGGATCCTAGGCATAATTTATCAGTGTTACTGATTAATTAGACACATGTGCAACTCTTGGGTATCTTTATTGAGGAAACGTTTCGCCACACAGTGGCTTCATCAGTCCATACGTAGGAGAAACTTGAACAGGAGGAGAATGAGGTAATCAGTCCCTCAACCTTGAGTCGATGTGTTCAGTCCATCAATCTTGAATAGAATTCTATTCAAGATTCTATTCAAGATTGATGGACTGACCACATCGACTCAAGGTTGAGGGACTGATTACCTCATTCTCCTCCTGTTCTTCAAGTTTCTCCTACGTATGGACTGATGAAGCCACTGTGTGGCGAAACGTTCCCTCAATAAAGATACCCAAGAGTTGCACATGTCTAATTTATCAACATGTCGGTTCTCTGAACCATTCATCTACAAATCAGTGTTACTGCCATAAACTTTTAAATTTTAAGAATTATATGTCGAAATAATAATTTAAGATCCTAAGACGTGTGTGAGACGTGATAAAGGAAGTGGACATGAAGGTGGGACATTGTGAGGTGACCTTAGAGTTCCACTTGACACTGAGATACATCAATATCAGCGTGAATTGTCTGATGTACCAAAGTTTATCCACCATTATGGGCCTGAAATGTTAATTTAGGATATTACCTGTAAATTTACCTGCGTAATTTCTCCCATAAACGACTTAATTTCTCAGAAAAATTACTTAATTTGAGGGTCAACCATTTTATTTTGTATAATGGAAAATCGTAACTTTTACATTAAAGACCCGTCAAGGAAGGTTCCTTGATGCTGGTGAGGGGCTCTTGATCTAGGGAATTGGATCTGTGCTCCAGTTTCCTGAATTAAACCTGAATACCTTCCACATCCCCCCCCCAGGCACTTTGTAATCTTACAGTGCTCTGTGGCCAGGCAGCAAAAGCTCTCACGTCACATGGTGAGAGTCCGGGTTCGATTCCCGGCGAGGGTAGAAACATTGGGCGTGTTCCTTTACACTGGTTGTCTATCTTCATTATTATTATTATTAAAGATTAGCCGGTATTCTCCCGGCCCGGGCCTTTTCCAAGTGGTGGCCCGGCCTTGGCTCCCTCTTTAGGGAGTGTCTTCACCCATCAGTAAAATGGGTACCTGGGTGTTAGTGGACTGGTGTGGGTAGCATCCTGGGACAAAACTGACCTAATTTGCCCGAAATGCTCAGCATAACAAGCGACTCTCACCTTGTACATGTACTTGTAGTAAATAAAGATATTATTATTATTACAGAGAACAGAATATTGATGTCTAGCTGCTACAGTTTGTTATACAAAATGGATAATCTTGCAATAAACAAAATGTCAAGTTTCTGAGGGGAAACTATTACATTTTTGGTTTATAGAAAATGGGAAACATAGCATTAAAGAAAATGGCAAATTGAGGGTAAACTAATACATTTTTTGGATTATAGAAAATGTGAAATATAGCAAAGAAAATGACAACTTTCGAGGGTAAACTACTCCATTTTTATTATAGAAAACAGGAAATATTTCATTACAGAAATGACAATTTTTGAGGATAAACGATTCCATTTTTGTTACAGACACTGGAAAATTTTGTATTAAAGAAAATAGTAACTTGTGTGTAAACAGCAGAAGCATAAACTTTAATAGTTTGCATTTAAAGCTTATACTATTGTACATTTAAAGGAACCCTTGTGGATTCAGCACTTAGTTATGAATGTGATATTACAGTGGAAAGCACCAAACCCATAAGGGCCATACAGTGCCAAGGGAATTGGGAGGTAATAAGTAAATCCAAGAAAATGGAATCCCCGTGGCTGGGCTACCCACTCAACTCACACACTGAGGTTCATGGTTAGATCCCCAGTATGAGTGGAAATGTTAAGACACCTGCTGTCCATGTTCACCTAGCAGTAAGTAGGTACCTGGGTGTTAGGCAACTGGTGTGGGTGGCATCCTGGGGGAATGCTAACTTGACAAAAATAATATCAACTTGATCTATATCAAAAACTTTCTAAATATGTTATAATCAAAAAGAAGCACTAAACCCACCAGGGCCATACAGTGCTGCAGGGCAGGGGGTGTTGGTGCACAGAGTAGTAAGATAAGATAAGATAAGATTTCGTTCGGATTTTTAACCCCGGGGGGTTAGCCACCCAGGATAACCCAAGAAAGTCAGTGCGTCATCGAGGACTGTCTAACTTATTTCCATTGGGGTCCTTAATCTTGTCCCCCAGGATGCCACCCACACCAGTCGACTAACACCCAGGTACCTATTTGCTGCTAGGTGAACAGGACAACAGGTGTAAGGAAACGTGTCGAAATGTTTCCACCTGCCGGGAATCGAACCCGGGCCCTCCGTGTGTGAAGCGGGAGCTTTAGCCACCAGGCCACCGGGAGAGGATTTCAGAGGTAGTTAGAAAGGGCTGTGTGGAGTGCTAAAGGAAGTATTATCCAAGTTTGTGTAATCTGTTGGTGTCAAAAAGTCAAAGAGGGAGTCTGTATCAAGGTGGTGTCGTCAGCGAGGAGGGAAGATAAAGTAAGGATGTATGAGTGGTGACGATGTTCAAGGTAAATTCTGCATGCTCGAAAGACGGGACAGTCCAACAGAATAATAATATCTTTATTTCTAGAAGTGCATATACAAGGTATACAGACCATAGCTGACATCAATGACATACTACTACATAGAAAGCTGCCTTTTATGCAGAGCATTTCAGGCAAATTAAGTCAGTTTTGTCCCAGGATGTGACCCACACCAGTCCACTAACACCCAGGTACCCATTTTACTGATGGGGAACATAGACAACTGGTGTAAACACACACACCCAATGTTTCTACCCTGACCGGGAATCAAACCTGGATTTTCTCCATGTGAAGCGAGAGCTTTAGCCACCCGGCCACAGGGCGCCGTGGCACCATGGCCTGCAAACTGAAATTGGAACCTGACAATTCTTAGTGGAACAGGGCACCTCTCCATGAGATACCCATAAGTAAGACAAGTGTCCGATGCGAAGACGGGAGTGTGTTGTCTCCCAACCTCGGCATCGATGACAAGAAGGCCAGAAACCTAAACTTAGTTTGGTAGACTGTAATTTGTTAAGAGTCATATCAGACCAATAGGGATAGAGAGGGCAGGGGGCAATACAGACCCTGGACCCCTGAAAGGCATTCAGGTCCAACTTGAATGAGTTGGAGCACAAGTTCAGATCTATAGATCAGAAATAATAAAAGTATTATTCAGAGCTGAGGAGAAGTTGTTGAGGTGGTTTGGTCATTTAGAGAGGATGGAGTAATATAAGATGACTTGGAAGGTATATAAATCTGTAGGAGGGGTAGGGGTTGGCCTAGGAAAGGATGGAGGGAGGGGAGGGTAAAAGAGGTTTGGACATACAGCAGGCATGTGTGAATGTGTTAGATAGGAGTGAATGTAGACTAATAGTTTTTGGGACTTGACGAGCTGTTGGTGTGAGCAGGGTAATATTTTGTGAAGGGATTCAGGGAAACCGGTTAGCCAGACTTGAGTCCTGGAGGTGGGAAGTACAATGCCTGCACTTTAAAGGAGGAGTTTGATATTAGCTGTTCGGAATAACATCTGAACTGTTGTATCTGGGCACCTCTGCAAAAACAGTGATTGTGTGAATGATGGTTAAAGTGTTTATTTTCTGGGTCGCCCTGCCTCAGTAGAAGACAGCATATGTGTTAAAAGAAAAAAGTCATGAGAGGCTACTAAAATGCCAGGAGCAAGGGGCTAGTAACCCCTTCTCCTGTATAACTTACTAAATTTAAAAATAAAAACTTTCATTTTTCGTTTTAGGTCACCCTGCCTCGGTGGAATATGACCGACATGTTTAAAATACAGTGGACCCCCGCATAACGATCACCTCCCAATGCGACCAATTATGTAAGTGTATTTATGTAAGTGCGTTTGTACGTGTATGTTTGGGGGTCTGAAATGGACTAATCTACTTCACAATATTCCTTATGGGAACAAATTCGGTCAGTACTGGCACCTGAACATACTTCTGGAATGAAAAAATATCGTTAACCGGGGGTCCACTGTATACATCATTACATTAATGTTACACAATACTGGCAATTAGATGAATAAGACACATGGCCGACAATTATCTTTAATGATATCAGTAAAGATAAGATATCAATGTCAGGCACAGTTTACTCATCTAAAAGTATTACTGCAGTGATCTACACCTCTGAGTATCAAGTCTTACCGGTGAAGACGACTTACATTATATACCTCCAACACAGAAGGCAGCTCTTATATTATATACTCCCAACACAGTGTATGCATAAATTATATTACTGTGTTTAAAGAAATTTTCAGCAATAAATGATTAAATTTTTTTTTAAACGTTCTATTTCGTTAATGAGTGTTGCTCATACATGCCGAGCCAGGGACAAATAGTCATGTTACATGTTCATATTATAATCATAACTAAGTGCTATGGTGGGATATGGGCAGTTTGTTGAAAGAAGAACAATTAGGTGCTAAACCCACAGGAGTCATACATGTTCATAGTTTTACTGAGTACCGAATAAGCTCAAGTAGTTATGTAAATGCGTATGTGACTACAATTCTGTCCACGACTGTGCCTATACCTCGTTTTCATTTTCCACACGAGCACTGAGCAGTGTGCTCGTGTATCGGGTACATATTTACACACCTTTCAGTGAACATTTACAATAAACATACTGGAGCTATGTCAGTGACAAGTGTCGTTAAAATTACAATACAAAAATATATACACATCTATTTTCTGTCATAACTGCAAAACTTCAAGATAATAATTTTTTTTTCAACTCACCGGTCGTCTCCCACTGAGGCACGGTGACCTAAAAACGAAAAATGTATGTTTTTCCTTTTACACGAGGTAATTTATACCAAAGGGTTACTAGCCCCCTACTCCCGGCATGTAAGTCGCCTCTTACGACACACATGGCTTACTGAGGGGAAACATATTTACGATATGTATCCTCTTAATGATCTCTTGCCGTAACTCTTACAAATTATAATCATAATTAAGCACTAAACCCACAAGGGTCGACTCTTACAAAGCAAGTTGTTACAGTCTTCATGGTAAAGAGAAGTTTTCCTTCTCTGGTGGATTGTGAGTTATATCCCCATTGTCGTAGCTTTACAGACCTCTTCCCTGATCACTTCTCAAGTCTTATTACACGTTGGCTTACATGCGGCCAACAGTAACAGCATGGCTGATCAGGCTGATCCACCATGAGGCCTGGTCACAGACCAGGCCGTAGGGGGCATTGACCCCCGAAACCCTCTCCAGGTATACTCCAGGTATACACCTCAAGCATCAGAATAATTATGTATCATTATTTAGTAGTGGGTCCTAACTTACACTTTTCCGACTTCTGATGTTTTGCATTACTGACGAGGCACTTTGAACCAAATAATAACAAACATTGATCTGTAGTTTCGATGCTTTCAATTATTTAAAAAGAAATTTTAAATATATTTCTCTTTTTTTTTAACCACATGGATTCAAATTTTTTGGTCACAAATTATAGACTTATTATTTGATTTTCTTAAGGTTGAATTTTAAAGAGTATTAGTAAATAAGAGAGAATCCAGCTGCTGCCTGTACTGTGTACAGGCAGCATCTGGTTCAGACATAGATGTCACGGAACTGCAGGAGGATTCAGACAAACTCAATTCGTGGTCAGAAAAGTGGCAGATGCAGTTCAATGTAGATAAATGCAAAGTTCTGAAGCTCAGGAATATTCATAACCTTAGTACTAATCAGCTGAATAATGTTGAAATTCGCCATACAGAATGTGAAAATGACTTGGGTGGGGAAGGGGGTTATGGTAAGCAGCAACCTTAAACCATGACGGCAATGCCTAAGCGTACATACTGTACACACTACAGTACTGTACACAGTATAATACAGCACAGTACATGACTCTCAAAACCACCATGGGGACTGCAGTCCCCATGTGCAAAGCTCTTTATTGATAAATACGTACTGTACTATCATAAATAAAGCCTGGAATCAGCCTAACTGAAATGAATACAAAGTAGAAATGCAAGAAGCCTACTGTATAGGCCAAATATTTCACAATCAAGATGCCTACATGTTGCACATGTGTCGTAGGTACCTACGTGTTGCACATGTGTCGTAGGTACCTACGTGTTGCACATGTGTCGTAGGTACCTACGTGTTGCACATGTGTCGTAGGTACCTACGTGTTGCACATGTGTCTTATTACAAAATAAAAATAATGAGATCTTGGAAAAAAAAAAATGAATCTAGATCCTAGTCCAAGAAAATGTGAATCAGATAATTCTTTATGCTAATTTATATAAATTTTTCTTTTCGACACACTAGCTATCTCCCACCGAGGTAGGGTCACCCAAAAAGAAGAAAAACATTTACCATCACTCACTCCATCACTGTCTTGCCAGTGCTGCCATGTATTCTGGTCATTAGTTTTGTTTATGCATAGCCATATGTCTTAAAACAATAATAATTCTGAACTTTATTGCAATATTCAACATTACATATGTTGCCCCCCATACATTGCATGTTGCTAAGTTTGTGAAATTTGGATAGTGCTTATACATAACATGACCAAGTTAATGGGGTGAGGCAAGTGTTACCACTTAACAGTTAAGGGGTAGTGCTAATACTGCCACCTAAGTGTTAAGGGGTGGTGCTAATATTACCACCTAAGTAGTAGTGTATCTCCCGTTCGTATGGAATAGTACGCCATTTCTTGCATATCATTATCCATTGGAATTTCAAACGTCTTTCCACCCTGAAATTCAAAGAGAAAATTTAATTATATTTACTAATTTTTAATATATAAATTTCCTGGTCAATTTTATTTTTGTTGCATTGTTTATACCAAATAAAATCCTTAACAGCAGAAATATAGAATTAAGAGGTACTGTAGTGTATAAGCAACTAAAATCACAATATTAAAAACACAGTGGTACGTCGAGTTTCGAACAGCTCCCAACTCTAACAATTATGTAAGTGTATTTTTGGAAGTGCTTTTGTAAGTGTATTTTTGGGGGTCTGAAACAGACTAATCTAATTCCCATTATTACTTATAGGAACAAATTCATTCGGTATCGGCACTCGAACAGCCTTCTGGAACGAATTAAGTTCGTAACTCGAGGTATCGCTGTACTGTAAACGTTAATGGTACAGCCTCATTAAGAGTATGTGTAAGATATTTCTGGTCGCCATGTTAATGGAGAAGAATCCTTCGTAAGTCATGCATGTCATAAGAGGTGGCTGTAAAAAAAAAAAAAAAATCTTTCATTTCTTATTTGCTTGGTCATCCTGCCTTGATGGGAGACGGCCGGCATGTTAAAAAAATATATAGAATGGATATAAATGCCTTAAAAACACAGGATAACTTTATCATTCCTCTTTCTATCAGAATTATTTCCTTTCAAAAAACTCATAATGATTTCATATGGGACAAATTTAGATATGACATCTAAGCTGTCGTATCTGGGCACTTCTGCAAAGACAGTGATTGTGTGAATGATGATGAAGTGTTTTTCTTTTTTGGGTCACCCTGTCTCAATAGGAGATGGCCGATGTGTTTAAAAACTTAAAAAAATACATAGGCAGAACAAACTGCCAATCAGTATGTAAATGTTGGATGAAGTGGAACATACCATTGTTTCTAGTTTACTAATAAATGTTTTTGTACATACGTATATGGTACTTTCATGTAACAATTCTAATACACTGAAATTTTTTTTCACGAAGATTTGCTCTCAATTCATATGAAATTTTTGCAAAACCATTAAACTGATAAGAAGCTTAGTAATTTTGTGCTTAAGCTTCCATACAAACAACTAAAATCTCCAAGCTTTTCTTTCTTTCAATGCACCAGCCATATCCCACCGAGGCGGGGTGGTCCAATAAGCTATCAAAACTTTGAGGCCCAGTCCCTGGACCCATTATGTACCTCTGTAATCTTTTGACTACCACCCACAGGATGGGTATGGGGTGCATAATAAACATATTAAACTAACTGGTCCAATAAGGAATATAAAAGTTTCTCTTTATAAATTTAATAATGTATACAGAAAACGGGGTTACTAGCCCCTTGCTCCTGGCATTTTAGTCGCCTCTTACGACATGCATGACTTATGGAGGAACAATTCTGTTCCACTTCTCCATGGAGATAAGAGGAAATAAACAAGAACTAGTAAGAAAATAGTAGAAAACCCAAAGGGGTGTGTATATACAGCGTCTCCTCACTTAGCGACATACTCGTTTACTGACGCCTCGGACTTACGACGGGCTCTCTGACCAGCGTGCATGCCTAAATAAAGTGTATTAGAGCTGATTTCCTCTATCCTGTTTATTACAATATACAGTACACTACTGTATAAGCATTTAAAAATATACCAGAAATGTTATAAATGGTGCAAAGGTGATGTTAAAGAAATATCAAAGATGGTTGACACAAACCCACTACCATTATAGTATGTTCCTCATTTAGCGATGAATTCGTTTATCGACGCAGTATTAGGAGTAGAACTCCATTGTTAAGTGAGGAGAGGCTGTACATGCTTGTACATGCATGTGTAATGTGACCTAAGTGTAAGTAGTAGTAGCAAGATGTACGTGAAATCTTGCATGTTTGAGACAAAAAAAAAGACACCAGCAATCCTACAATCATGTAAAACAATTACAGGCTTCCGTTTTACACTCACTTGGCAGGACGGTAGTATGTAACAAATAACAAAAAAAGGCACAATACCGTGACTGGAACGATACACAAATAACCCGCACATAAAAGAGAGAAGCTTACAACGATGTTTCGGTCCGACTTGGACCATTGACAATGGTCCAAGTCAGACCGAAACGTCGTCGTAAGCTTCTCTTGTATGTGCGGGTTATTTGTGTACGGTAGTATGTACCTGTGCGGCTGCTGTCTACCAACGTACTATCTTTTTACATTTAGTAATTTATACAGGATGTGATGTTACTAGTTCCTTGCTCCTGGCATTTAGTAATGTATATAGGTGTTACTAGCACCTTCTCCTGTATAAATTACTAAATTTAAAAAAGGAAAACTTTCGTTTTTCCTTTTAGGTCACCCTGCCTTGGTGGGATATGGCCGGTGTGTTGAAAGAAAAAATATATACAGTCTCAAAGGATTCATACACAATAAATTTATGAATTACAAGGAGACCCAACAAGCATGGCTTACGGAGGAAGGATTCTTCCCCATTCCCCATGGAATGGTCCCTTGGTACTGTTATTTAAAACAATTCCCATGTTTACCTTCACACTAGAGTAACTGAGCCTCACTGCAATTGCTGGATTGATTTTGAAATGCCTTTTAAGCATCATTTTTACTTTTGCCACCTTGGTCGTCGGCAAAAATGGTTTGGTAAAAGGTTCTCTCTCGGGATGATCAGGGGTGACAACCTTCAACTCAATCTTGAGATCTTTTAGTTTCTGATGTTTCTGGTTGTTGCTGCTGGTCTCATCCATGGGTGGCCCATGAGCTGGAACATGATAACACATTAAACATGATAAGACAGTGCTGCTGGTCTCATCCATGGACAGCCCATGAGCTGAAACACAACACAATACAAACCTTACTAACCTAATCTTACATTTGCATGACAGGATGGTAGTTCCTGCCTGAATGGTTGGAACCAAAAGAAAAAAATAAAATATATATTTGAAAGAGAAAAATTTGTGTGAGAATAAATATACTGAGAGATGTAAAAAAAAAAAACTTGCTAAAATAAAACAGTACACAGTTAACCTGCATTTAAGAGAATGCAACCTATGAGATTGAACTTAGAGACTGAAACGTTGTCACGTTTCAGTCTCCTAAGTTTGAGTTATTTGTAAACTGTTCCAGTCACAGTATTGTGCTTTATCCTTTCTAAAATAAAACTGATTTCTCGATTCTGTAGAATTATTTTGCTTACTTTTTACAAGCTGGGCATACATAGGATGCTTTTGGATGAAGTCTTGAGTGAGGTGATCAGTGCGGGCATCTTCGGTGCCCCCGCTGCTGAAGTACTCGTTACTGAAGGACTTCAGGTAAAACAACTCGCAGTCTCTCTTCTCCTTCAGCGTTATTCGTGCCCGATTTAGCACCTATAATGATACACCTGTAAGCATTAAGCTGCTGCACTTAGCATTATGAGCAGCTACACTAAGATATCTAAACCATACCATGAGTGGGGTTAGAACCCGCGATCGGAGAGTCCGGAGTTTTGAGATTCCCTGATCATGGGTTCTAACCCCACCCATGGTATGGTTTGTTTGCAATCATGTCATTACGATTTCATGAGTCATCTGGGTATTTATTCTGTAGATGTTAGACAAACCAGTGGCTTTATCAGTACAATAGAGAAGACTGGAAAGGTAGAGGATAAGGTAATCAGTCCCTCAGTCTAGCAACAGGTGTTCAGTACCACAGTCTTGATGAATCTAATTTACTGTAGTCTTGAAAAATCTGATTACTGAAGCCTTGAAGAATCTTGAGATTCATCAAGGCCGGTACTGGACACCTGCTGCTAGATTCAGGGATTGTTTACCTTATCTTCTGCCTTTACAGTCTTCTCTACTGTATTAACGAAGACACTGGTCAACAAAACGTTTATATAATAAAGATATCCAGATGTTAAAAGTGTCTAATTTATCATCTTGTGGGTATTATACACATCAGTAATATACTAAGACATAAGACAGTCAACTTTTTTTTAAAGCTCTATGTAAGTGAATTTTTTGTAAATGCGATTGGAAAATTGCATCCAAAATTGAATAGGATGTGAAAAGTCTTTCTTCTTCTTCTTATGACCAGAGCTTTGGTAAGATGGGTAAGGAAGAAGGATGGGTAAGGATAGAAATATTGGAAAAGGATGGGAGGGGGGAGTGAGGTAGGATATAAAAGGTAAGTGGCCCAACCACTTAGGTGTAATTTAAAAAGTGTATGTGAGATAATAAGATATTTTTAAAGGGGTATAATGCTAACCCATCAGAGTCACATAGATATAACAGATATACAAGTACATGACTCTGAATTGGTAGTAAATATACAACTGCAATTGCCTTTTTTTTTTTTTCGATTGCACAACGGATATTTAAGCGACAATGAAGGCAATAATTTCCTGGCCAGTTTATAAAGAATTACTTGACAATGTCTTCTTACAGGTGGTGTCCCACCATAGTAAATATAGCATAATTTTTACAGTAGATTGTTATATAAGATTTTTTTTTTTTTATTATCACACCGGCCGATTCCCACCAAGGCAGGGTGGCCCGAAAAAGAAAAACTTTCACCATCATTCACTCCATCACTGTCTTGCCAGAAGGGTGCTTTACACTACAGTTTTTAAACTGCAACATTAACACCCCTCCTTCAGAGTGCAGGCACTGTACTTCCCATCTCCAGGACTCAAGTCCGGCCTGCCGGTTTCCCTGAATCCCTTCATAAATGTTACTTTGCTCACACTCCAACAGCACGTCAAGTATTAAAAACCATTTGTCTCCATTCACTCCTATCAAACACGCTCAAGCATGCCTGCTGGAAGTCCAAGCCCCTCGCACACAAAACCTCCTTTACCCCCTCCTCCAACCCTTCCTAGGCCGACCCCTACCCCGCCTTCCTTCCACTACAGACTGATACACTCTTGAAGTCATTCTGTTTCGCTCCATTCTCTCTACATGTCCGAACCACCTCAACAACCCTTCCTCAGCCCTCTGGACAACAGTTTTGGTAATCCCGCACCTCCTCCTAACTTCCAAACTACGAATTCTCTGCATTATATTCACACCACACATTGCCCTCAGACATGACATCTCCACTGCCTCCAGCCTTCTCCTCGCTGCAACATTCATCACCCACGCTTCACACCCATATAAGAGCGTTGGTAAAACTATACTCTCATACATTCCCCTCTTTGCCTCCAAGGACAAAGTTCTTTGTCTCCACAGACTCCTAAGTGCACCACTCACTCTTTTTCCCTCATCAATTCTATGATTCACCTCATCTTTCATAGACCCATCCGCTGACACGTCCACTCCCAAATATCTGAATACGTTCACCTCCTCCATACTCTCTCCCTCCAATCTGATATTCAATCTTTCATCACCTAATCTTTTTGTTATCCTCATAACCTTACTCTTTCCTGTATTCACCTTTAATTTTCTTCTTTTGCACACCCTACCAAATTCATCCACCAATCTCTGCAACTTCTCTTCAGAATCTCCCAAGAGCACAGTGTCATCAGCAAAGAGCAGCTGTGACAACTCCCACTTTGTGTGTGATTCTTTATCTTTTAACTCCACGCCTCTTGCCAAGACCCTCGCATTTACTTCTCTTACAACCCCATCTATAAATATATTAAACAACCACGGTGACATCACACATCCTTGTCTAAGGCCTACTTTTACTGGGAAAAAATTTCCCTCTTTCCTACATACTCTAACTTGAGCCTCACTATCCTCGTAAAAACTCTTCACTGCTTTCAGTAACCTACCTCCTACACCATACACTTGCAACATCTGCCACATTGCCCCCCTATCCACCCTGTCATACGCCTTTTCCAAATCCATAAATGCCACAAAGACCTCTTTAGCCTTATCTAAATACTGTTCACTTATATGTTTCACTGTAAACACCTGGTCCACACACCCCCTACCTTTCCTAAAGCCTCCTTGTTCATCTGCTATCCTATTCTCCGTCTTACTCTTAATTCTTTCAATTATAACTCTACCATACACTTTACCAGGTACACTCAACAGACTTATCCCCCTATAATTTTTGCACTCTCTTTTATCCCCTTTGCCTTTATACAAAGGAACTATGCATGCTCTCTGCCAATCCCTAGGTACCTTACCCTCTTCCATACATTTATTAAACAATTGCACCAACCACTCCAAAACTATATCCCCACCTGCTTTTAACATTTCTATCTTTATCCCATCAATCCCGGCTGCCTTACCCCCTTTCATTTTACCTACTGCCTCACGAACTTCCCCCACACTCACAACTGGCTCTTCCTCACTCCTACAAGATGTTATTCCTCCTTGCCCTATACACGAAATCACAGCTTCCCTATCTTCATCAACATTTAACAATTCCTCAAAATATTCCTTCCATCTTCCCAATACCTCTAACTCTCCATTTAATAACTCTCCTCTCCTATTTTTAACTGACAAATCCATTTGTTCTCTAGGCTTTCTTAACTTGTTAATCTCACTCCAAAACTTTTTCTTATTTTCAACAAAATTTGTTGATAACATCTCACCCACTCTCTCATTTGCTCTCTTTTTACATTGCTTCACCACTCTCTTAACCTCTCTCTTTTTCTCCATATACTCTTCCCTCCTTGCATCACTTCTACTTTGTAAAAACTTCTCATATGCTAACTTTTTCTCCCTTACTACTCTCTTTACATCATCATTCCACCAATCGCTCCTCTTCCCTCCTGCACCCACTTTCCTGTAACCACAAACTTCTGCTGAACACTCTAACACTACATTTTTAAACCTACCCCATACCTCTTCGACCCCATTGCCTATGCTCTCATTAGCCCATCTATCCTCCAATAGCTGTTTATATCTTACCCTAACTGCCTCCTCTTTTAGTTTATAAACCTTCACCTCTCTCTTCCCTGATGCTTCTATTCTCCTTGTATCCCATCTACCTTTTACTCTCAGTGTAGCTACAACTAGAAAGTGATCTGATATATCTGTGGCCCCTCTATAAACATGTACATCCTGAAGTCTACTCAACAGTCTTTTATCTACCAATACATAATCCAACAAACTACTGTCATTTCGCCCTACATCATATCGTGTATACTTATTTATCCTCTTTTTCTTAAAATATGTATTACCTATAACTAAACCCCTTTCTATACAAAGTTCAATCAAAGGGCTCCCATTATCATTTACACCTGGCACCCCAAACTTACCTACCACACCCTCTCTAAAAGTTTCTCCTACTTTAGCATTCAAGTCCCCTACCACAATTACTCTCTCACTTGGTTCAAAGGCTCCTATACATTCACTTAACATCTCCCAAAATCTCTCTCTCTCCTCTGCATTCCTCTCTTCTCCAGGTGCATACACGCTTATTATGACCCACTTCTCGCATCCAACCTTTACTTTAATCCACATAATTCTTGAATTTACACATTCATATTCTCTTTTCTCCTTCCATAACTGATCATTTAACATTACTGCTACCCCTTCCTTTGCTCTAACTCTCTCAGATACTCCAGATTTAATCCCATTTATTTCCCCCCACTGAAACTCTCCTACCCCCTTCAGCTTTGTTTCGCTTAGGGCCAGGACATCCAACTTCTTTTCATTCATAACATCAGCAATCATCTGTTTCTTGTCATCCGCACTACATCCACGCACATTTAAGCAACCCAGTTTTATAAAGTTTTTCTTCTTCTCTTTTTTAGTAATTGTATACAGGAGAAGGGGTTACTAGCCCATTGCTCCCGGCATTTTAGTCGCCTCATACGACACGCATGGCTTACGGAGGAAAGATTCTTTTCCACTTCCCCATGGACAATAGAAGAAATAAAAAAGAACAAGAGCTATTTAGAAAAAGGAGAAAAACCTAGATGTATGTATATATATATATGCATGTGCGTGTCTGTGAAGTGTGACCAAAGTGTTAGTAGGAGTAGCAAGATATCCCTGTTATCTTAGCGTGTTTATGAGACAGAAAAAGAAACCAGCAATCCTACCATCATGCAAAACAATTACAGGTTTTTGTTTCACAGTCATCTGGCAGGACGGTAGTACTTCCCTGGGTGGTTGCTGTCTACCAACCTACTACCTTATAAGATGTCTCCCTAATTGGGGGCGATGATTTTCTCGGTAAACATAGAAGGGTTCTGGTGTTACCCAATCATCTTCATCAGGGAGGTTGCTCAATATTATGGGTCGATGGTAATCATCTTTATGGATAAAACGACGGACCCTCTGTGGGAGAGTCATTCTTTGAGTCCTGTGAGGAGGAGTATTGATGATATACTCCGTGGTATTTTCAACTTGTAGAGGATGTTCTCTATCTGGCATGTATAGTTCTTGCATTGTATAGAGTTGTTTCTTTTTCAGGGTGTCAAGGCGTACATTTAAGGCAGTTATATCTTGTTGTACGTGTAAATCTGCCATTTTAACTCTGTCTCTCCTCCTGGTACCCATAATGAAGCGAAGAGCTCTATTCTGGACCCGTTGTAACTGTAGCATGTTGGTCTTTGTTGTTAATGTCATTGGGACACATGGGTATTCGAGTATAGGTCTTATTATCATTTTATATAGATGTTTTTTGACATGTGGAGGGGTTTGATTGAATCGAAAGAGACTGCTAAGACCGGCTTTGGCTATGTTGATCTTTTTAGTTACATGAGATGTTGAGTGGAGTAGCCTGTCTATTTCATATCCCAAGATCTTGTTAGGGTTTCTAATGGCTACAGGTGTACCTCTGATGGAGATACCCCCTTTATCTTCAATGGTTGATGCAAAACATCCTATCGTGCTAACAAGGACCTTGTCAGGATTAGTCGTAATTCTCCATTTCTTTTCCCAATTAGATGTTCGACGAAGTTCAATATTCATTTTTTCTATGACTCTCTCGTACTTGCATTTTCCTGTTACCGGAGTTGATGAGACGACATGGATAACATCATCTGCAAACTGTGTTACAATTGTATCATTAAACTCTGGTTGAGTAAGGTCATTCACATAAATGTTGAAGAGAATTGGACTAAGACAAGAACGTTGTGGGACACCCGCTGTTGGTATAAAAGGCTCTGTCTTTCACGTACATGCAATTCAATTTTCGATGCTTTTTCAACTACGGGCAGCCTAGGTTTTCATACGCCCTAGTTTGTATGTAAAACTATAGTTATTCTCTATAAAATGTATTTTTTGTTAATATTTCCCATAAGAAATAATATAAATCCAATTAATCCATTCCAGACACCCAAAAATATTAACAAAAAATACATTTTATAGAGAATAACTATAGTTTTTCCGTTTTTTTTATGTAGCCGGACTTGAGTCCTGGAAATGGGAAGTACAATGCCTACACTTTAAAGGAGGGGTTTTGAGATATTAGCAGTTTGGAGGGATATGTTGTGTATCTTTATACATATATGCTTCTAAACTGTTGTATTCTGAGCACCTCTGCAAAAACAGTGATTATGTGTGAGTGAGGTGAAAGTGTTGAATGATGATGAAAGTATTTTCTTTTTGGGGATTTTCTTTCTTTTTGGGTCACCCTGCCTCGGTGGGAGACCCCCGACTTGTTGAAAAAAAAACAAAAAAAAAAAAAAACTATAGTTTCACATACAAACTAGGGCATACGAAAATCCAGATTCCACTGTACACATACTTAAAATTGCACCATATACAATAGCATTAAAAGATAACCTATTATAAAGTCCAAAGATGTGCTATTTAAACAGGTTTAAAAGGCTAAAATCAGCTGTGATATACATATAACAAAGCCGGATTAATGGAGCAGCCCAGCCGGGTAGCTGCCCAGGGCACTGACCTATAACTAGTGCTAAAAAGCACAAAGCCAGAAAAAAAAAACTTATAAAATACAGTGGACCCCCAGTTTACGATATTTTTTCATTCCAGAAGTATGTTCAGGTGCCAGTACTGAACGAATTTGTTCCCATAAGGAATATTGTGAATTAGATTAGTCCATTTCAGACCCCCAAACATACACGTACAAACGCACTTGCATAAATACACTTACATAACTGGTCGCATTGGGAGGTGATCGTAAAGCGGGGGTCCACTGTACTGTTTACTATTAAAAATTACATAGGAAGGAACTTAAAATATTGTCACATTCAGTGCTTGAAAATAAAGTATATAGTATACAATTTATTTTATTACGCCTTGGAGACAGTCCGAAACAATGCCATAATATAAGTCTACCCAAGGTGCCCAATATAGAAACAATATAGATCGATATAGAAATAGTGTATCATGCTGAGATAAAACCATTCCCATTACTAAATGTAATACTGTTACAGTGGACCCCCGCTTAACGATCACCTCCCAATGCGACCAATTATGTAAGTGTATTTATGTAAGTGCGTTTGTACGTGTATGTTTGGGGGTCTGAAATGGACTACTCTACTTCACAATATTTCTTATGGGAACAAATTCGGTCAGTACTGGCACCTGAACATACATCTGGAATGAAAAACTATGATTAACCGGGGGTCCACTGTATATGTTTTTACCTCACTATTGTCTAGTTAATGATAATCACTTCAAATACCTAACTTTCATATCGGTATGCAATTATGTATATTAAAACGTACAGCTCCATAACCTGTGTCAACATAGAGTAAGAATTAGTATTAGTCTGCCCGAAATGCCTAGGCATGCTTGTGGCCTTCTTGGTAATTAATTTTATAATATGTAAACCACACATTGTAAGCTCTGCAGCGAAATGTATTTTCATTTTCATCTCGGCCCAGTACTGGTGCATGAGACAAGTGAACAACACTTGTGTATCTTGAGTGGATGTTTCACTCCTGAAGAGTGAAACATCTCTCAAATAAAGATACCCAGGTGCTATACCCAGGTGTTACACCCAGGTGTTACACCCAGGTGTTACACCCAGGTGTTACACCCAGGTGTTACACCCAGGTGTCATACCCAGGTGTCATACCCAGGTGTCATACCCAGGTGTCATACCCAGGTGTCATACCCAGGTGTCATACCCAGGTGTCATACCCAGGTGTCATATGTATCTTTGATGTATAATAAATTTAACACCTATAAAATGCCTCGGTGGGATACAGCCAGTTTGTTGAAAGATGATGTATTTAACACTAGAAAACATAGATTAAACACTAAAAAATACCAATAATACAGATGTGAACACCACACAAAGATTCAAATAAAGACAAGATGCAGTATGGTATGGTTTGTTTGCAATCATGTCATTACGATTTCCTGAGTCAAGATGCAGTTCAGTCAGACCAATACCTTAGGATTAACAATCCTTACCACTTAAAAGGTCTGTTCCATTCCCTTAAGATTAGCAATCCTTAGCACTTATAAGAACACAGACATTACCATAAGATTAGCAATCCGAGCAAAAGTGAACTCCTGGAAAAACGGAGAAGTCGTTGCGTCGTAGCTGATAACCAAATCTTCCAAGCTGGGCAACTTGTTCAGCTCTCCGGTACATTTCCACTGAAAAAAATATATATATTTTAAATGTTCGTTCTTTGTTTCGACACACTGGCAGTATCCCGCTGAGGCAGGGTGACCTAAAAAGAAAAAAGTTTTTAAATTTAGTAATTTATACAGACCTAGGAAGTAGGTTAGTAGACAGCACCCACCCAGGGAGGTACTAGCGTCCTGCCAAGTCAAGTGTGTTATGGAAGCCTGTAATTGTTTTACATGATGGTAGGATTGCTGGTGACTTTTTTCCTGTCTCAAGCAGCATAGCAGATATATCTTGCTACTTCTACTTATGCTTTGGTCACACTACACATGCATGTACAAGCATAATATATATATACACACACCCCTCTGGGTCTAATTCTATTTTCTTAATAATTCTTGTTCTTATTTCCTCTTATCTCCATGGGAAAGTGGAACACAATTCTTCCTCCATAAGCCACGCGTGTTGTATGAGGTGATTAAAATGCCAGGAGCAAGGGGCCAGTAACCCCCTCTCCTGTATATATTACTCAATTTAAAAAGAGAAACTTTCGTTTTTTTCTTTTTAGGTCACCCTGCCTCAGTGGGATGTGGCCGGTTTGATTAAAAAAAAAATTACTATTAAAAATAAAGCCGAATAGTTTAAGAGAAAATAATAATATACTTGTCGCAGCATAATTTTGTAATATATGCAACAGAAGAAGAAAATTAATTTGCTCAATGATGTGGAAATAATGAAGAAAGGCAAGAATTGAGGCAATATCAGTGCTGTATACAGGACGGCCCCGTACATACAGGACAGCCCCCCCATATAGAGTACAGGACAGCCCCCCCATATAGAGTACAGGACAGCCCCCCCATATAGAGTACAGGACAGCCCCCCCATATAGAGTACAGGACAGCCCCCCCATATAGAGTACAGGACAGTCCTCCATATACAGTACAGGACAGCCCTGCAGTCTGTGGTTTTTAAGTGTCATTGTTCATTAAGTTCAGTGCTTTTGCCGCTTTTCTGCCGTTTTCATACAACAGCTGCATATGGGAAGGGCAACTAGTGCCTATATTTTAAGGTAAGTACCGTATGTACTGTGTACAGGATGGACCCATTTATACAGTAAGAAACATGGAGCCAGTTGCAACTGCTGTATGAATATGGCGATAACAATGGTGCAGCAGTAAAAACACCGATCATAAACAATGGTTCAACTGAAAGTCAACAGAAACATGGAACACCAAAAATAGGTGCTGCGTAAGTGTGGCCTTCCTGAATTTATTTAATTTTTATCTTTTTTTTTTTTTTTTGCCTAGCTGTATTAAGCACTTAATATACATTAGTGTAAACATGTTATCAGGTGTTTTAGATGCATTCAATGATGAAAAAACTGCTCTTTTCCACCCACTAGTGATTTTCGCTTACCGTACAGCGTCAGGAACCCAAGAGCCATACTAACAGGCCCTCGTATACCTACATAATGCCAGATATGATACGTGAATGTACTCTTGAGTGGGTAAAACTGAAATGTCTTGCTAATGTTGCTAATAGCCTGATCAAATTAAGCCAAAATGTAATGGAAATAGAATTATATTCAGGACTATACAAAATAAAAACTTGAAATATTGACGTAAAGGCAAAAATAGTGCATTTGACAAGTGGGAGAGCAAGGCTGCAACACAACAATATACACACACTGTTATAATGTAGAGTACAGTATATTACACAATTAGGGTGACTGACATATATAAACTAGAGTAAGCCTCTTATTATGCGAGACATTTCGGGTATGAGTGAAATACAAAAAATATACAACCAAATTATATCAAAAACAAATTAGACAAACTCATCACTCAAAGCAAGAGAGAACTTACTGTATCTAAAGTGTTGTTAGCAAGTGTTAACTGCTTGAGGCTTGGGAACATTGTGGTTTTCTCTGTTGCAGGCGTACAGGGGAATGTGATTTCCATCAATTTGCAGCTGTTTGCATTCAAGCTCTCGAGTCTGTAAGAAAAGTTTTAAAATGCAAGTATTGACAAACCGTATATCAATATTGTGTTTGGTGTAGGATACTCTTCTCTGTACTCAAAGTTAAGAGGCAAGTAAGTTTCCCTGTGAAACCAAACTGTGCTTAAAGATTTGTTAAGTCATACCATGATTACGGAAAGATCCCAGACTTAACTTCAGGAGAGCAGACGAAGAAAATGTTATAGCTATTGTGGACAAAGTAGATTATAGTAGTAAATTAACATGTTATTAGAAGACAGGGAAACTTACGTGCCCCTTAAAGAACAAAGAGGCACAATGCCGTGACTGGAACAACACACAATAACCTGCACATAGGAGAGAGGAGCTTATGACAATGTTTTGGTCTGACTTGGACCATTTACAAAGTCATGTGCCCCTGAATGTCTAAGAACTAGATTTTTTTTTTTTTTTTTTTTTTTCTCTCAACAAGTCGGCCGTCTCCCACCGAGGCAGGGTGACCCAAAAAAGAAAGAAAATCCCCAAAAAGAAAATACTTTCATCATCATTCAACACTTTCACCACACTCACACATTATCACTGTTTTTGCAGAGGTGCTCAGAATACAACAGTTTAGAAGCATACACATATAAAGATACACAACATATCCCTCCAAACTGCCAATATCCCAAACCCCTCCTTTAAAGTGCAGGCATTGTACTTCCCATTTCCAGGACTCAAGTCCGACTATATGAAAATAACCGGTTTCCCTGAATCTCTTCACTAAATATTACCCTGCTCACACTCCAACAGATCGTCAGGTCCCAAGTATCATTCGTCTCCATTCACTATCTAACACACTCACGCACGCTTGCTGGATATAGATAATAGATTATTTAGTAGGATTTCTAAATTATACAAAAGGGTTATGAATTGTTGCAACCGCTGTATTTGTGGAACTTATCCTTCATGTCTGGCAAAGAGAAGAGGCACTGTAATATTGTACAATTCTCAAGACAACAATATTGACAAGAATTCAAAATGTATTTGACTTGTATATCAGTTATATTGAACTACATATTTTGTTTAACACACCAAATGTTTCCCACCGAAGCAGGACGACCCGAAAAAGAAGAAACACTTTCATCATCACTCCATCACTGCCTTGCCAGAGGTGTGCCAATACTACAGTTCAAAAACTGTAACATATCTCCACCCATCCTTCAGAGTGCTACATATATATAATGTCTCCACCCATCCTTCAGAGTGCTATATATATATAACTTCCAGACAACTGACACTAACCTTGGAAGTGAGCCCAAACAGCAGAGATCTTCCCAAGAGACAACAGGATTGGCGCCGATATCTAGCTCTTGTAGAGAATCAAACAGACCATCGGGAATTGGCCCTAGTTCTTTCAAATTATTGTAAGCCATCTAAAAAAAAAAAAAAATTATAGAGGAATAAAATATTAATAAAAAAATGGTAATACATGTAATGGCTACAAAGTGTGATTTACATTTTATGAATTGTTAAGTACAAAGAAAGCCACTAACATGCCTGAACATGTTAGTACAGAGTGAACCAGCTGTCTCTATTAAAAAAAATAAGAGCTGTATGGTCCTTGTGGTTTAGCTCTTCTTTCTGATTATAATAATAATAATCTAAAAATAATGAATATCAACAATAAGTTTTTTAACAGACTGGCCGTCTCCCACCGAGGCAGGGCGTCCTCCACAATTAAATGACAAAATATTAATACTGCATACACATGCCTGGGATTTTTAAATTATTATTTTTGCATACATATGCCAGAAGGATTTATTAAGGTCACTCCAATGTGAGAAAAAAAAAGCCTGAAAAATGTTTAATGTACTATGATTCTTGACTCACAAACGCCTGAGATAAGATAATCCACACTTACCACCGAGGTCTAAAAGGCATAATACTGAGAAAATAATTTATGAATGCTTCTCTGCATTTACAAGCATATTATTTTATTATCACACTGGCCGATTCCTACCAAGGCAGGGTGGCCCGAAAAAGAAAAACTTTCACCATCATTCACTCCATCACTGTCTTGCCAGAAGGGTAAGCTTTACACTACAGTTTTTAAACTGCAACATTAACACACCTCCTTCAGAGAAGAAGAAAAACTTTACAAGCATGTGTGACATAATACATTTAGACATTACTAATGACTCATTTGCAAGTTAAAATGCCAGGAATGTAACTCATTCATAGCTTTCACCTTCATTCACACTATCACTGTCTTGCCAGAGGTGTGCAGATATGACAGTTTAGATGTCCCTCCAAACAGCAAATACAGTGGACCCCGGACTTACGATATTAATTCATTCCACAAGTCTGTTTGGGTGCCGTTACTGAACGAATTTGTTCCCATAAGGAATATTGTAAATTAGATTAGTCTGTTTCAGACCCCCAAAAATACACGTACAAAAGCACTTACAAAAATACACTTACATAACTGTTCGAGTTGGGAGCTGATCGTAAGGCAGGGGTCCACTGTATCTCTAATCCCCTTCTTTAAACTACAGGCACTGTACTTCCCACCTTCAGGATTCAAGTCTGGCTAACCAGTTTCTCTGAATCCCTTCACAAAATGTTACCTTGCTCACACTCCAACAGCTCATCAGATCCCAAAAACTATTTGCCTCCAACCACTCATTCATAGCTTTCACCTTTATTCACACTATCACTGTCTTGCCAGAGGTGTGCAGATATGACAGTTTAGATGTCCCGGAACTCTCTCCAGGTAAACTCCAGGTAAACTCCTATCTAACATACATACCTGAGTTTCTCTCTCTCAAAATAAAGCCTCTCTCTTACCTGTAATTTGCTGAGTTTTGGGAACATTGTGCAGCAGGTGAGTAAGTCTTGCCAGGAGTACACCATCATGTTGTTGAGTACAAGATGAGTAATATGACAAAGACTTTCTTTGTGCTCAAGTGGCTGCTCAGGAAGGCTCAGTAAATTCCCACTGAAATGCAATAATATATTCACTATCCAAACATACACATACACAGGAGAGTCCCACACATACACCACCTTTTCAACATTCCACATTTTCGTTGCTTTCCACTGATCCATTGTTCCACCTGCAGGTAACTACAGTGGTCCCTCGTTTTTTCGTAGTTAATCCGTTCCTGGAGTTGCTACTATTATCGAAATCTACGATTTGCGAATCAATTTTCCCCATAAGAAATAATGTAAATACAATTAATCCGTTCCTGACACCCAGAAGTATTAAAACAAAAAAATTTTTTACATGAAATATAGATGTAGTACATAAACAAAACAATGGGAAATGATGAATGAAACATTAACAGCATAACACTTACCTTTATTGGAGATTCTTCTTAGTGTATGGGAGACTGGAGGAGGAGAGAGTGTGGATTGTTTATAGTTTGGAAGGGGAATCCCCTTCCAGCAACACCTCAGGTACCAATTGCTTTTCTGGGGTTGCTTATCGTCTCTGTTTCTTAATGCCACTAGGACCACCTTGAGTCACTGGAGTCCTGTCTTGCAAAATAACTGTGGAGAGAGCTGTTATAACTTCTCAACATCTTCGAGTACTGGTGATCTCATTTTTGTCAGCATAGTTACCCCCTTTGCAACAACAGCGTCCTTGATTTCCTTTTTCTTGGCCACTATGGAACATATGGTTGTGTAGGGTTTCATATACATCCTGGCCAGTTCGGCCACACTTGTGCCACTTTCATATTGTTCAATGATGTTTTTCTTAAATTCAATCGTATTTCTCACCTTCTTTACCACAGGCTTGGCACTAGGAGCTTTCTTTGGAGCCATGGTAGCTTATTTAGTACTTGCAAGCACTAAAATGAGTGGAATATTATGAAATATTTCGTAGGAGCATGTGAGGGGACCTTCGCTCACTGGTAAACAATGCCAGACTGGCTGGGTAAGGAGGCCGCCCCGGCTCACACCGTGCGTACGCGTCCCGGACAAACTACTATTCGCAAGTCAACCTATGATTAGCAAGCCCATGTTTATACGAAAATATCCCTATGATTTCCGAAATCTATGATTCCCGAGAACTACGAAAAACGAGGGACCACTGTACTGCCAGCAGGTTATACACGACAAACAATGGCGCAATCTGAAGTTGACAAAACTGTGGAACACTGTAAAGGTGTCATATATGCAGGGCTCTCCTGTACTGCATATGCAATATACAGTGGACCCTCGACTAACAATATTAATTGGTACGATATCATTAGTAGAGTTTTTTTAGCGTTAGCCGAGCAACATGTTAGCGTTAACATGTATCACTAGTCAGATTTAACGTTAGACGATGCCATCGTTGGTCGAGGGTCCACTGTACTGAGTGGATCATACACAGACTGAAGAATTAAGACACATGTGCAACATCTGGGTATCTTTATTTGTAGATGTTTACAAATAAAGATACCAAGATGTTGCACGTGTCTAATTCTTTATCTTGTATACCATTTAGGTACATACAAAGACCGTAGAGATAATACATAAAATAACCCACACTCAACAGTAAAAAAGGCACAAATAAATCAAGGAACAGGCAGGGACAAGACCCATAATAAGCGAGTCCTAAAACAGGCCAGTTTTCTATTGTGTTGTTACTATTTCATGTCGTGGCATGAATATTTCCGGTGTAGCTCGAGAGCCTCCTCAGGAGACTCTTCCACTCTTAGAGCTTCTCCAGCTAAACTGAAAATATCTGCAGCATTTTCCTAATGCTGAATGTGGCCATTTATACATTCTTCTTCTTTCAACAAACCGGCCATATCCCACCGAAGCAGAGTGGCCGCCCAAAAAGAAAAACAAAAATTTAGAAAAACAAAAGTTTATTTCTTACATGGTGTATTCTAATATTTGGGATTGAACGTGTTGAACTTTTTTTGGGTTATCCTAGGTTCTCTACACATATGATGCTATGTATGATAATGTAATTGTGTATACCTGAATAAGCTTACTTAATTACTTAGGTGACCCTTGGAATAGATGGGGAAAAGTGTGGTGTGTTGACACAACTATGGAAAGATATGCATCAATTTTTTTTTTTTTAACCACTAGGCTGTCTCCCACCAAGGCAAGATGACCTGAAAAAGAAACTTCACCATCATTCACACTATCACTGTCTCGCCAGAGGCATACAGATACGACAGTTTAGATGTTCCTCCAAACCGCAAATATCCCAAACCCCTCCGTTAGAATACAAGCACTGTATGTACTTCCCACATCCAAACAAATAGGAATGTATCTGAGAATGGCGGCACCAACACATTTACATGCCTTAAACTTTGCTGTACGGAGAAGACTAAATGGAGTTGACATATTTGAGGGCAATGCATAGTGTAAGCATTATGAAGAGAATTTAGAGTATAAGGAGTCAGTGTAGGCTGTACAGCTGCAGAGAAGGCATTCAGCAAACCAGCTCAGCATTGCAATATTGTAGAGTGAGGTTACAGTTCCTAATTACCAACTATTGATCTGCTAAATGTACCATTAAAGAAAAGGAGTAGCATTATTGTTTTTTTTTTTTTTTAACACAAATCAATTTTACAGCCTAAGAGCTGTAATGTTATCTCAACTCGTTTCCCAGTTCTGAGGTATACTACCACCCCCCAGGATGCCACCCACACCAGTCGGCTAACATCCAGGTACCTACTTACTGCTAGGTGAACAGGGACAGCAGGTGCCTTAAGGTAACATTCCCAATGTTTCCACCCATACCGGGAATCGAGCCATGGACACTCAGTGTGTGAGCTGAGTACGCTACCAACCCAGCTATAGGACTATGAGGAGGCTGACTGAGGGATTTCACCATGGACAGACAGACCTTAAAGGTCAAGCTGACTATAGATCAGAATCATTTGCATGTAATGCTATGCATAGTATAAGTGGCTTTGGCATGCTGCTCTTATCTGTATTTTTTTGTACCTCTGTATGTATGCTCAAATTAATAATTAAATAAATAAATAAATAAATAAAAGAGGCAGGGTGACCTAAAAAGATAAACCATAATTTTTCTTTTTAAATTTAGTAATATATACAGGAGGAGGAGTTACCAGCCCCTCGCATCCAGCATTTCGCAATTTACGTATATAGAAGGGGTTACTAGCGCCTTGCTCCCGGCATTTTAGTCGCTTCTTACAACACACAAGGTTTACAGTGGAAGAATTCTTTTCCACTTCTCCATAGTGTGTTCGAAGAATTATGGTAGAGGGGCAACCATTTAAGGGGCAGTTGTTCTGCATGTCGAATGCTAATACAATAGTTGGGTACTACAAGTGAGTGTGATACAATATCAGTGCTGGCCAGTACCTGGAGGGTATTCCAGGGATCAAAGCCCCTGCGGCCCAGGCCATGACCAGGCCTCCCGGTGGATCAGGGCCTGATCAACCAGGCTGTTACTGCCAGACACGTAGTCCAACGTATGAACCACAGCCCGGCTGATCTGGCACCAACTTTAAGTATCTGTCCAGCTCCCTCTTGAAGGCAGCCAGGGGTCTATTGGTAATTCCCCTTATGCATGGTGGGAGGCTCTTGAACAGTCTTAGGCCCTGCCTCTAAACTGGACAAATAATCCGCACACTGAAGGAAGCTCATGATGTGATGTTTCGGTCCAACTTGGACCATGTTTTGCTCTGCGTAGAGCTTTATCATGTTTCGGTGTAAAGCTTCATTAAGCCACCACCAGCTCACCTTATGTTCAAGAAGCGAAGGGACGGCAGCTGCCGAGTGATATGAGCAACGTTGGCCCAAGAGGAGAGGAGAGTGTCGGAGACATCCAGGTGCCGTAGCCTCGGCAAAAGCACGGACAGGTCGCTCTCATCGCTGCCCCAGATGGTCCACTTGTTCAGCACTACCGTCTCCAGCTGCTCCAACTGTCTGAAGAACAACGAAAAAAAAAGTTATTCACAAAACTGTACATCAGATAATATTCATCTGTACTTGTAGAAATTAGCATCTGTGTTTATCAATAAAATCTCAATTCTTCAATGTTTTTCTTTAGTCACTGATTACTTAACCGCCTCAAATGACGCAAAATACATCAGGTTGTACCACTGTTGTATTACGAGTACAACCTCTCCTCACTTAATGACGGGTTGTTCCTAAGACTAGGTCGGTAAGCGAATTAGTAGTTAATCGAGGAGAATACTATGCTGGTAGTGGGTTTGTGTCAACCATCTTTAGATATCTTTTTTTATATCACGTTTGCACCATTTATAACATTTTTAGTATACAGTGGACCCCCGGTTTACGATATTTTTTCATTCCAGAAGTATGTTCAGGTGCCAGTACTGACCGAATTTGTTCCCATAAGGAATATTGTGAATTAGATTAGTCCATTTCAGACCCCCAAACATACACGTACAAACGCACTTACATAAATGCACTTACATAATTGGTCGCATTGGGAGCTGATCGTAAAGCGGGGGTCCACTGTATTTTTAAATGTGTATACAGTAGTGTATTGAATACTGTAATAAACAGAATGCAACTGGTATGCAAACTTAGGCTTGCATACTGGTTGGAGAGCTGGTCGTAAGTCTGAGCAGTCGGTAAACGGGTATGTTGCTAAGTGAGAAGAGGCTGTATTACCAAAGTTATTACCTAGAATACAGTATACCATCATCAAGTGGAAATATCGTGAGTTGATCCATTGTAAACCGATGAGCATCTGTACATGTAAATATACTTGTTCCTCTTTGTGTATTAACTAAATTAGTTTATTACACAGGCACAACATCTCAAAGTTTCTTTATGTAAATTGTGTCTTGTACAAATTTTGAGTTAATAATTTACTTACGTTTTTTTTTCTCTGACTTTGCTTATCCCCACATGCTCAACAAATTGTTAGTTATAAACTGTTAGGTAAAAGGACACTACAACTAATGTGACATTTTATTGTGGCAACGTTTTGCACTCCAGGAGCCTCGTCAAGCCCTCTTACCTAACACAGTCGGTAATTCTACCAACAATATTAGCAGTAAATTATTACCTCTGCTTTTCTCCAACCTTATTCATCCCCACGAGCTCAACAAATCTTGCTTTGATTATTCTTTGCAGTTGTTCAGTTATCTGAAAGGATAACATTTGTTACTACTGTGGCATCATTATAGTCACAACTACAAAAGTATAGTAGAAAAAACACGAAGCAATTAACATAGTTTAGGTAATTACAAGAGCAGTTTAAAGAAAAAACACATTGTAAATATGTAATTATAAGTGCAGGATACAAACACACAAGGTAAAGAAAGCAAGTATTGGGCTGAGTTACAAGATACATTAATCCTAGTGAGGTATTCACAGTGAGGTATTACTTTATACGTTCCTCAATGACAATAAGCTCCAAGAACACGAAAGCCCTGTTTTCGTGGCTGTTGGGTTCCTGACCCCCAGCAATAAGTAAAAATCACCGGTGGGTGGAAAAGAGCATTTTTTCAATATCTAATGTGTCTAAAATACTTGAAAACGTCTATTCTCATTTGAGCAAATGCTTCCTCTGACCATATTTGCTTGGAATTCCTCCTTTTTTCTGCAACACTGCAACCTCCTGATATGTTGATATGTGGTTCTTTTGCATTGTGTATAGCTTGTTTATGATTACTGTACAATGTTACTATACAGTGAACCCCCAGTTAACGATATTTTTTCATTCCAGAAGTATTGTTCAGGTGCCAGTACTGACCGAATTTGTTCCCATAAGGAATATTGTGAAGTAGATTAGTCCATTTCAGACCCCCAAACATACACGTACAAACGCACTTACATAAATACACTTACATAATTGGTCGCATTGGAAGGTGATCGTTAAGCGGGGGTCCACTGTACATGATAATTTGCATACCTGTGTCTGAATAAACTCAAGTTATGTACTATCTTACCTGAGTTTCCACAGCAGTGTCATCCTGGTATCTACCTCGAACCGCTGCTTCCAAGGTAATCCCAGTGTTTACCTTTGTTGGACGTACAAAAGACCCGGATGTTGGAAACCTTCAAATAAATTTCATTCATATCATTAAAAACAGAATCTTTTAAAATTATTCTAACCTTAAAAGTTTTGAAGTACACTAGTGAAATGACTCTCCTAACAAAATTCCCACCAACTGGAAAATGGAGACCTCAAGAAGAAAACACATTCTCCATTGCTCATTCTCTAGCTGCATTTAAAGAAGGTAACAGAAATTGAAATCCAACAGTGACCTATTGAAATGCTACATCTGGCACTCACAGTACTGGCACTATACTCGCCAGTTTCCAAAGCTGAAATCTAGCAAGTCAGTTTTCTAGATACAAAAAATCTCCAATTTACAAATGCCCTGGGTTATACACATCAGTATTTACAAACAGGTCATTTACGAAACAATTTTACAACCCAGTCACAGCATGAAAATGTGTAAAAATGTGTAAAAATGTGTAAAACATAATACTTTGATCTACTTATTTTATACAAACATACAAAATACACACTGTTAATTACTTGCAAAGTTCCAAGGTTATATACCTAGTATTACGTCAGATTGGATAGATAATGCAAAGCCACAAGGCCAGAAAAATTCGCCAAACACCTGTGATGAGAAAGATTTGGACAAATCAGAAAAAAGAAACTGGTTGCAACTGCATTTTTATACTTAATTTAAATTTTATCCAAACATGCTGGATTCTGAAGCAGGTAGGATCCACAATGTTTTTTTTTTTTTTAACTATCTTACCTAGTTTCAAAATATTTAATCCCATTGTGAGACCCATCGTGGCGGCCACGCACAGCATCATCCCAGTCCACTCCGTACCATGTTCCTTGTGTAGTAGGTACTTCACCTATCCATTTCACTGTTCCTCGTGCACCGTCACTTTCTATCCGACTCCCAATCTTAACTGATGGGCCAGCCATCTGCAGATTATTATTATTATTATTATTGTTTTTTTAACACAATGACCATCTCCTGCCAAGGCAGAGTAACCAAAAAAAAAGAAAATACATTCACTAACATTTATTATTATAGTCATGATGAAAATCCAAATTCAATGGATCATAAAATACTGGGAAAATAGGAGGCAATCAGATTTGATCAAAGGAAGAAAAGGGCAACTTTAATTTCTTGGCCTAAAGTCCCTTTGCTATTGCTAGTATTGGGCAATCTGTGCATTACTATTTTGGCAGCTAATATGAGCCTAAATTTTTTTTTTAAGAAAATGGCCATCTCCCACCGAGGCAGTGACCCAAAAAAAAAAACATTCACCATCATTCACACACATCACTGTCTTTACAAAGGAGCGCAGATACGACAGTTCAGATGTCACTCTAAACAGCAAATATCCCCCCCAAAAAGTCACTATTAATATTATATATATTCTTGACAGATTTAAAGGTTGGATGCGAAAAGTGGGTCATAATAAGCGTGTATGCACCTGGAGAAGAGAGGAATGTAGAGGAGAGAGAGATTTTGGGAGATGTTAACCCTTTCAGGGTCCGTCCCGTAGATCTACGGCTTTACGTTCAGGGTCAAAACCGTAGATCTATGCCACGAGCTCAGCTCACTCTGATAAACTGTGAGTGGTACATTTGGGCCTAGATATGAGAGAATACATCTATGTGGTATGTGTGCACCACATAAAACAGATCCTGCAGCACACTGTGTATAATGAGAGAAAAAAAATGAAATCATGATTTTTCGATTAAAACAGCAACTTTGCAGTGTTTTTTCGCATGTTTTTTATAGTTGTATTTGCGATTTCTTGGTCTCATTTGATAGAATGGAAGACATATTACAGAAATAGAGATGATTTTGATTGGTTTTAGCACTGGAAATGGCTTGAAACTGAGCTCAAAGTAGCAGAAATGTTAAATTTTTGCCGATATTCAAGAGTAAACAAACGACCTCACACGTCTAATACACGCCAGCTGGTGGGTCTAATATACATTCACAAATATGGTGATGATATTTATACAATTATTACAGTATTGCATAACAGTAAATCTTCTATTTTTTGGTGTGAATAAAAATTCATTATGTGAATAAAAAATCAAAATGGAATTTATTTGTAAAGCCTCAAAACATAACTAATGAACAGAGGAAATGTTAGTTTAGTGCCAGGAATGCCTACATTGTTCATTCTGGACCCTATTTTGAAATTGGAATATTTTGAACTTTGTGTTAAATTGGCCAAATTAACAATTTCCGATCACTTTATTTTGTAGTTGAAACAGTTGACTTGGCGATTTCTTGTGCTCAATCGATAGAATAGAAGTAATACTAGTGAAATAGCTAAGAATTTGGTTGATTGGAATAATGTAATTGGCCTAAAATGGGAGTCAAAGTCGGCAAAATCGCCGATTCGTAAATATCGCTGACACATCAAAATTCGCGAGAGCATAATTTCGTCAATTTTCCACCAAATTTCGTACTTTTTGTTTTATTACCTTCACAAAAAGATTCTCTACGATTTCATAAGAAAAAATAACAAATTTTTTTTTTGAAAATTCTTGGACACTGGTGCGTGACTCCAGATTTGGGCCTTGGACCCTGAAAGGGTTAAGTGAATGTATAGGAGCCTTTGAACCAAGTGAGAGAGTAATTGTGGTAGGGGACCTGAATGCTAAAGTAGGAGAAACTTTTAGAGAGGGTGTGGTAGGTAAGTTTGGGGTGCCAGGTGTAAATGATAATGGGAGCCCTTTGATTGAACTTTGTATAGAAAGGGGTTTAGTTATAGGTAATACATATTTTAAGAAAAAGAGGATAAATAAGTATACAAGATATGATGTAGGGCAAAATGACAGTAGTTTGTTGGATTATGTATTGGTAGATAAAAGACTGTTGAGTAGACTTCAGGATGTACATGTTTATAGAGGGGCCACAGATATATCAGATCACTTTCTAGTTGTAGCTACACTAAGAGTAAAAGGTAGATGGGATACAAGGAGAATAGAAGCATCAGGGAAGAGAGAGGTGAAGGTTTATAAACTAAAAGAGGAGGCAGTTAGGGTAAGATATAAGCAGCTATTGGAGGATAGATGGGCAAATGAGAGCATAGGCAATGGGGTCGAAGAGGTATGGGGTAGGTTTAAAAATGTAGTGTTAGTGTTCAGCAGAAGTTTGTGGTTACAGGAAAGTGGGTGCGGGAGGGAAGAGGAGCGATTGGTGGAATGATGATGTAAAGAGAGTAGTAAGGGAGAAAAAGTTAGCATATGAGAAGTTTTTACAAAGTAGAAGTGATGCAAGGAGGGAAGAGTATATGGAGAAAAAGAGAGAGGTTAAGAGAGTGGTGAAGCAATGTAAAAAGAGAGCAAATGAGAGAGTGGGTGAGATGTTATCAACAAATTTTGTTGAAAATAAAAAAAAGTTTTGGAGTGAGATTAACAAGTTAAGGAAGCCTAGAGAACAAATGGATTTGTCAGTTAAAAATAGGAGAGGAGAGTTATTAAATGGAGAGTTAGAGGTATTGGGAAGATGGAGGGAATATTCTGTCTTGCCAGAAAGGTGCTTTACACTACAGTTTTTAAACTGCAACATTAACACCCCTCCTTCAGAGTGCAGGCACTGTACTTCCCATCTCCAGGACTCAAGTCCGGCCTGCCGGTTTCCCTGAACCCCTTCATAAATGTTACTTTGCTTACACTCCAGCAGCATGTCAAGTATTAAAAACCATTAGTCTCCATTCACTCCTATCAAACACGCTCACGCATGCCTGCTGGAAGTCCAAGCCCCTCGCACACAAAACCTCCTTTACCCCCTCCCTCCAACCTTTCCTAGGCCGACCCCTACCCCGCCTTCCTTCCACTACAGACTGATACACTCTTGAAGTCACTGTTTCGCTCCATTCTCTCTACATGTCCGAACCACCTCAACAACCCTTCCTCAGTCCTCTGGACAACAGTTTTGGTAATCCCGCACCTCCTCCTAACTTCCAAACTACAAATTCTCTGCATTATATTCACACCACACATTGCCCTCAGACATGACATCTCCACTTCCTCCAGCCTTCTCCTCGCTGCAACATTCATCACCCATGCTTCACACCCATATAAGAGCGTTGGTAAAACTATACTCTCATACATTCCCCTCTTTGCCTCCAAGGACAAAGTTCTTTGTCTCCACAGACTCCTAAGTGCACCACTCACCCTTTTCCCCTCATCAATTCTATGATTCACCTCATCTTTCATAAGAAATAATGGAAATCAAATTAATCCGGGCAAGACACCCAAAAGTATGAAAAAAAAATTTTTACCACATGAAATATTAAGTTTAATGCAATAGAATAATTACAATAACAATAGATTAATAACAATAGAATAATTGACATTTACCTTTAATGAAGATCTGGTGATGATTGATGGGATGGGAGGAGAGGAGTGTGTGGATGGTGTAAGTGTTTAGAAGGGGTATCCCCTTCCATTAGGACTTGAGGTGTCAAGTCCTTGAGGACATTGTTTTTCCTGAACACTCTGGGAGTTTCAGAGTGATACACCAATAAAGGCTTCACTTTGCAATCACCACTAGCATTAGCACACATCACCACTAGTTGCAGGCATTTTTTTAATTAAATAGTCATGCAACTTCCTAGCCTTTTCACATATGATCGCTTGAGAGATGCTATCTCCTGCTATCTGTTTTTCGTTTATCCACACCAATAACAGTCTCTCAACATCTTCTATCACTTGCGATCTCAGTTTCGAAAACATAGTTGCACCTTTGGCAAGAACAGCTTCCTTGATTGCCGTTTTCTTACCCACAATAGTAGCGATGGTTGATTGGGGTTTGGTGTACAACCTGGCCAGCTCGGAGACACGCACTCCACTTTCATACTTAGCAATGATCTCTTTCTTCATATCCATAGTAATTCTCACCCTTTTTGCTGTAGGGTTGGCACTAGAAGCTTTCTTGGGGCCCATGGTGACTTATTTTGCAGGTGCAATCACTAAAAACGCTGTGATAATATGAAATGTTCCGATTGTATGTTTGGATGGGACCGCAGTGGCTGGCTGGCTTGTAAACACTGGCCACAAGTGGATGCGTCTCGGATGGAACGAATCGTGTTGGTAGAGTTTTTTAGCGCTAGTCGAGGCAAAATTTTTGCGTTAAAATGTATCGCTAGTCGGATTTAACGTTAGACGATGCCAGCGTTGGTCGAGGGTCCATTGTATTTACTGAATAATCAGCACTACTGCAAGTATTACCACCATTTCGGTGTCTGCCCAAAATGCCTAAGCATACTAGTGGCTTTCTTTGTACTTTATATTTTGTAATATGTAAACCTCATACTGTAAACTTTACAAATAAATAAAAATTTTGAATTTTTGAGCTGTTAAATATTCAGCATTACAATAAATATTACCACCACTGTCAAATATTCAATGTTACAATATTGCCACCATTTGAAACAAATATTACCACCACTATAAATACTCAGCATTACAAATATTACCACCACAGTAAATATTCAACATTACACCAGATATTACCACCACTACTCGTACCTTATCCAGCAAGTCCGAACCTAACTGGTCCCTGAGCAGTTGACAAATCGACTATAGTTCCTCTCTGGGTGACAAGAATCAGTCCTTCTTTCACCAGCTGTGTTCCAATCTTCCTGACAGCTGGCATTAAGTCCCTCCAAGCCTTTGGTGAAAGTGCTCGAGCAACCTGTAAATTATCAGAAATAAATTACCTTATTCTTTAAATGGTTTGCATAATGCATACCACAGACTGAAGTTTAATATACGTATTATGTGAGTCGCAGATGTTAATTTTTTATGCTTGCATCAATGGCCATCTCCCGCAAAGGTAGGGCGACCCAAAGATGTAAATACATTCACCATTTGGTCAATCACTGTCTTGCCGAAAGTGTGCTGGCATCACAGTTCAAATGGCCCTTAGAACTGAAACATCCACACCACCTCCTGCAGAGTACAGGAAGGGCCCCATGTTCCTGGCTCTCTCCAGTGTCCCACCATTTTGGTAATTGTCAATTGAGCCACAAATCATTAAATTTGGTATTTTTGCCGCTTTTCCACAATTTTCATTCAACAATTGCATAAGAGAAAGGCAACCAGTGCCATATTTTAAGGCAAGTATTGTATGTACTGTGTATTGATTTTTCTTTTGTATCTTATTTTGTGCTATAAGATATAACACAGTGCAAACATATTATCAGGCATTTTAGAAATACAGTGGACCCCTGCTTTATGATATTATTTCATTCCAGAAGTATGTTCAGGTGCCATTACTGAATGAATTTGTTCCCATAAGGAATATTGTGAATTAGATCAGTCCATTTCAGACCCCCTAACATACATGTATAAACGCACTTACAAAAATACACTTACATAATTGGCCGCATTGGGAGCTGATCATAAAGCAGGGGTCCACTGTGCTTGATATTGAAAAAGCAGCTCTTTTCCACTCGCCAGCAATTTTGGCTTATTGGTGGGAGTCGGGAACCTAACAGCCACAAAAACATGGCCCTCCTGTACTGGCAGAACTACATACTTTCTTCCTACCATCCTGTGTTCTGACATTCTCTGCTTATCGCTCACTTGTGAATTGACAATGACTTACGACAGGCTCTCTGACCAGTATGCATACCTAAATAATGTAAACTAGAGCCGATTTCTTCTATTCTGTTATTACAATATACAGTACACTACTGTATAAACATTTATAAATACTGTATACCAGAAATGTTATAAATGGCACAAAGGTGCCATTAAAACAATATCAAAGATGGTTGACATAAGTCCACTACCATTATGGTATGCTCCTCGCTTACCAATGAATTCGTTTACCGACGTGCTCTTAGGAACGGAATTCCATCGTAAAGTGAGGAGAGGCTGCATATCATTAGTTACTTAGAAAAATGCGCTAAGAAAAATGTCCCTTATCAGATTACTGCACAATTATACAAAGCCTGGTCAGGCACTTGCTAGGTAACTAGAATCTGCAACACCAATAATTATTTCTAAAAGAATTTTTCTTCTGTAAGCCATGTGTGTTGTAAGAGGTGACTAAAATGACAGGAGTAGCGGCTAGTAACTCCTCCTGCATACATTACTACATGGACCATCCGACTTACGACCAAGATTGGGTCCAACCAACTGGTCGTATATCAAAGTCGAGCCTTATGCTTTTAGTACTGTATTTTATACTAAACCGTTTGTGTACAACACAAACGGTTATTTAGTATTTGCATACAAAACATTCATATGCATGAACAGAAAAGTACAAAATAACCTAAGCTAAGCTCTAAAAAGCATGGTCGTAAGTACAAGTGGTCACATGTCGAGCAGGTCGTATGTCAGATGGTAGGTGTGTATTTAACCCGTAAACGGTCCAAACGTATATATACGTTTTTTCAACATTTGAAAGTATGTAAAAAAAGTAGATCTTTTTGTTTTTTTACATTTGAAAATGTGTAAAAAAACTTTGATCTACTTTTTTTTTGTTATATTTGAAAATTTGTAAAAACAATGTAAATCTACTTTTGTAGCACTACACATGTGAACGTAGATCTGCTTGGACCGTTTACGGGTTAAAAAGAAAAATTTTTGTTTTTATTTTTAGGACACCCTGCCTTGCTGGGATGTGGCCAGTGCGTTGAAAAGAAAAAATAATTTCTACCCAAAATGCACCTCTTGCTAGTGGCTTTTTTTATGCCTAACAATGTGTTATTACATATATGCTACAGAAGAGAATTAAATTTATTTTTATTATTATAATAACATGCATTTCTGACTCACCTCAGAGGGACATACAGTCTTCTTCAGACCTCTGGCTCTAACAAGTTCAATAATTTTCCCACGAATCAGGGCATTAAATCTTTCTGAGAGTCGCTGTTGCCTCTCCACAAGAGATTCTTGGTTCCTCTTTGCTGTGTAAGTACTGACCACTGTTGATATTGGTACAGACACGGTAGGGGCAACAGAAGGGTTATTTGGTATGTAAGAAGAGGTGAATGAAGCGGCTGTATTGACTGAAGCGGTGGATGAGAATGCAGCGCAAGTATTACTGTTGATGGAGTCAGTGTTACGATATGAATGAAGGGTATTACCTGGGGCAGTGTTTGTATATGAGATTATACCAGTGTCTGCTGTGGCGAGTGAAGCTACGGATGGGATGCTGCTGGAAGCACCAATTGTGGTATTATTGGTGGGGATGGCGCTACTGTCAGCAACAGGAACAGACGTCTGGATAAAAGGCTGAGGGCTGGCAAGCACAATATTGCAAGCAGAAGTGTGTGATGTAGGCTGAGTGTAAGTAATAGTTGGCCCAAGTAGACAGTGGTCGCCGCCTACTGATCCATGCTCGGTCTGTACAGCCACTGCTACTGCAGTAGGGACTGTCAGTGGTCCAACTGCTGATACACTGGATGGCGAAGCTATCAGTGATCCTGACGCTGATACTGGAGTCAATAGCTCAACCCTGGTCAGTTGCTGGGGTTCAACAACGTACTGTGGAAAAATAATTTCAGAAAACGTAAGCTCAAACATGGCAAGTGAAATCAAATCAAATAGCTTTTAACCTGATAGACCTATGAGGTCTATCAGGAGGTAAATGTAACATAGATAACAACAAGTACAGGCACTGTACTTCCCACCTCCAGGACTCAAGTCCGGCTAACCGGTTGACTTACCTGGTCTGGAAGAAGAGAAGCCGGGGATATAAGTCTTTTCACTGTATCCTCACCATCACATCTCTCTTGTTTCCTCTTCATTTAGATGTCTTCTGAATGATAAAATAATCATATAGTAAAACCATAACTTATAGTGTAATTCATAACAATTAATTAGGTACAGTGGTACCCTAAGTTTCATACAATGATAAAATAATCATATAGTAAAACCATAACTTATAGTGTAATTCAAAACAATTAATTAGGTACAGTGGTACCCTAAGTTTCATACAATGATAAAATAATCATATAGTAAAACCATAACTTATAGTGTAATTCATAACAATTAATTAGGTACAGTGGTACCCTAAGTTTCATACAATGATAAAATAATCATATAGTAAAACCATAACTTATAGTGTAATTCATAACAATTAATTAGGTACAGTGGTACCCTAAGTTTCATACAATGATAAAATAATCATATAGTAAAACCATAACTTATAGTGTAATTCATAACAATTAATTAGGTACAGTGGTACCCTAAGTTTCATACAATGATAAATAATCATATAGTAAAACCATAACTTATAGTGTAATTCAAAACAATTAATTAGGTACAGTGGTACCCTAAGTTTCATACAATGATAAAATAATCATATAGTAAAACCATAACTTATAGTGTAATTCATAACAATTAATTAGGTACAGTGGTACCCTAAGTTTCATACAATGATAAAATAATCATATAGTAAAACCATAACTTATAGTGTAATTCATAACAATTTATTAGGTACAGTGGTACCCTAAGTTTCATACAAAATTCGTTCCAGAAGGCTGTTCGGGTGCCGTTACCGAACGAATTTGTTCCCATAAGGAATAACATAAATTAGATTAGTCCATTTCAGACCCCCAAAAATACACTTAAAAAACCACTTGCATAATTGTTTGAGTTGGGAGATGTATGAAACTCTGGGTACTGCTGTATATCAACACAAATTTTGCGGTTTTATATTTTAGATGGCCAGTTTCCACTATGAATAACAAAGAGGCATAATACCATGACTGGAACAATACACAAATAACCCGCACATAGAGGAGAGGAGCTTATGACGACATTTCAGTCCAACTTGGACCAATTACAAAGTCACACTTTGTAAATGGCCCAAGTCGGACTGAAACGTCGTCATAAGCTCCTCTCTTCTATGTGCGGGTTTTGTGTATTGTTCCATTGTGAAAATTCTACAATGTTAAATTGGCTGTACAATAGTTATATTTTGGGTCTAGGAAAAACAGCTGGTAGGTAACGCTCTTCCCTCACACAGAGTTTCTGGGGTTCAATCCCTGGACGGGTGGAACATTGGGCATATTTTCTTACACCTGCTGTCACTGCTCACCTAGCAGTAAGTAGGTACCTGGGTGTTAGTTACCTTACACCTGCTGTCACTGTTCACCTAGCAGTAAGTAGGTACCTGGGTGTTAGTTACCTTACACCTGCTGTCACTGTTCACCTAGCACTAAGTAGGTACCTTGGTGTTAGTTACCTTACACCTGCTGTCACTGCTCACCTAGCAGTAAGTAGGTACCTGGGTATTAATTACCTTACACCTGCTGTCACTGTTCACCTAGCAGTAAGTAGGTACCTGGGTGTTAGTTACCTTACACCTGCTGTCACTGTTCACCTAGCAGTAAGTAGGTACCTGGGTGTTAGTTACCTTACACCTGCTGTCACTGTTCACCTAGCAGTAAGTAGGTACCCAGGTATTAGTCGACTGGTGTGGGCGGCATCCTGGGGAAGAAGACTGACGACCCCAATGGAAATAAGCCAGACAGTCCTCGATGACGCACTGACTTTCCTGGCTTATCCTGGCTGGCTAACCCTCCAGGGTTAAAAATCCAAACGAAACCTTATCTAACCGAACGTAACCTAAAAATTTAACTCAAAATCTAGGTTAAATTGAGTTTCTTAAATTTTTTTGGCTACCATTATGTATGATGATTTTCACCATACATCCAGAACATTGTTATTAACATTATATAACCAAATTTATGTTTCGCAGTTTCCATAGAAACTAATTTTTAGTGTAAAAAACTCTGAGCGGCTGAAGTCGAGCAAATACAATCAAATACAATCAGTTGAGCAAATACAATCAGAAATACAATCAGTCAAATACAGTCAGTCGAACAAATACAATCAGTTGAACAATCAGTCGAACAAATGTAATCACAAATACAATCAGTCGAACAAACACAATCAGTCAAACAAATACAATCAGAAATACCATCAGTCGAACAAATACAATCAGTCAAATACAATCAGAAATACAAAAAGTTGAACAAATACAATCAAATACCATCAGTCGAACAAATAGTCAAACAAATACAGTCGAACAAATACAATCAAATACAATCGGCAAAATTGCAAGTTCCTAATACGTTGATTGCAACATGAAAGGCCTAGAGCTATCATTCAACCCCCCCCCCCGTAGTTGTGCACACGTCACTATGATAATTTACATAATTATTTTACCTGTACCAGTAACCTCAACATAGTTAATTACATATTTTCCACTGACTGGACTACTATAAACAAAAAAGAAGCGCTAAACCCAGACGGGTCATACACCTGCAGTGACTAATCAACCCTGATGACTCACTCATCAATAATATATAACAAAACAATTATGGTTGATACATAAGTTATATTAATGTAATAAAGTGTATTACTCCCACCTGAACTACTTCATAAGTGAGATGTTGAGGCTGAGACACAATAGTAATGTTTATTATAATGTAACAATGTTGTTACATTCCTTTTGATGTGTCTTGTTGGGGGCTATAAGACCCACTGACGGCTTATGCCAGTCATCACCTGTTGTTGTTGGGTGTAAGGGTTGCTAGTTACATTCTTCTGTGCAGTTTCAGAGGAGTTGGTGTTGTTGAGTCAGGACCAGTCAGCGCCTCCCCCCCCTCTCCACTGGGGGGAGGGGGAGGGCGTGTGTAGTAAACAGTGACCCTCTCATAACGCCTCACCCCTGCCCGTCTCCCCCGCCTCACCCACCCAACTCCCAGCGCCACCCCATCTGTAGAGGGTACTTCTCCCCTAACCCACGATGTCAGCGATGGCACTGCAGGGCGTGCCGGGCTCACAGGAACTTCCACTACAGGGACAGCATCGTGGAGTTCGACTGCGAGGCAGCTGTCAGGTGTGCCACAGGCAGTGTGTACTCAGTTCCTCAAGCTTCAACATCCGTGCACACGAGGGCCTGGGATCTTCAATCAAGTTGGCGTCCACCAGGACGCTGACATGTCCCTAGGGAAGCTCTCCCTCGGGCTGCTAACGGAGTCACTGGCTTCTTGGACCTCTTGGGGAGGGTCGATGGTGCTCGTGCAAGCAGCAGATCCCGGGGCAACTTGCTGCTGTTTGCAATGGCTGTCTGCCGAGGAGAGACAGGCACCTAGCAACATCTGTTGTTGGGGCAATGGATGAATTCCCTGCTATGTTTGTTAACTGCTCATTACTCTGTAATTTGTCTATGATTGTAATCATGTGATAACGTGTTTATCATTCATTACCTTTGAAACTTGTCATGATTTTGACCAGCTCTACCTGGAGCTCATTACCTTTGTAAATTCTCATGATTAATGTGTTTATGATTCATTACCTTTGCAATTATTCATGAGTGTGACCAGCTCTACCTGGAGCTCATTACCTTTGTAACTTGGTCATGATTATGACCAGATCTAGTTCATTACCTTTGTAACTTGCTCAGCTATCAAAACTTTGGAGTCCAGTCCCTGGACCAATTATGTACCTCTGTAATCTTTTGACTACCGCCCACAGGATGGGTATGGGGTGCATAATAAACATATTAAACTAACTAACTAACTTCTTGGGTTCGTAAATTCAAATTCAAAGTTTATTCTCTAAGGATTACAATGCTGAGTTTACAGAAATTTGGTTATTGTGTGGTTTACATGTAGTAAAATTGTGATTACAGAGTGTACCACTAGAACACCTAGCATGGCTAGGTATTACAGTGTACCACTAGAGCACCTAGCATGGCTAGGTATTACAGAGTGTACCACTAGAACACCTAGCATGGCTAGGTATTTCGGGCAGACTTAGTTTTATTCTTAATTGTAAAATATTACAAATTATGAGGTAAGTTGGTATTATGGCTAAGTGACTAAATACTAGTTTGTGAGTTTAGCAATGTGAATGCTTTTGTTTTGGCACAGTACATAGTTTCAGTATTGGAGTATCACAGGATTCATTATTTTAGGATTGAGATTAATATTTCTGTTTATGGTCAAATGAGTGAGTGAGTGAAAGTGTAAGTGTGAACCACCAGGTGGTATTCGTGTAGTTAGTTGACGGGGTGTATCAGGGAGATAAGATGTTTTCTAGTGGTAGTTTTGAAGGTGATGAATGTGTCTGCAGTTCTAGAGTTCTCAGGTAGGGTATTCCAGATTTTAGGGCCTTCGACATACATTGAATTTTTGTAAAGGTTTAGTCGGACACGGGGAATGTCGTAGAGATGTTTGTGTCTGGTGTTATGCCTGTGGGTTCTGTCATAACTATCAAGAAAGCGTTTTAGGTCACGGTTGATATTAGAATTTAAGGCCCTGTAGATGTAGATTGCACAGTAGTAAGTGTGGATGTACTGAACTGGGAGTAAGTTTAGGTCTATGAAGAGTGGGGGGGGTGTTGCCAGGGATGGGATTTAGTGATTATTCTTACTGCAGCTTTTTGTTGGGTTATTATTGGCTTTAGGTGAGTTGCTGCAGTTGATCCCCAAGCACAAATAGCATAGGTGAGGTATGGATAAATAAGTGAGTGGTATAGTGTGAGAAGGGCATTTTGCGGCACGTAGTATCGTATCTTGGAGAGGATCCCAACCGTTTTGGATACTTTTTTGGTTATATGCTGGATATGGGTGCTGAAATTCAGGTTGTTGTCAAGGTATAAGCCTAGGAATTTGCCCCCATTATTTCTGGTAATTAGAGTGTTGTCAATCTTAATGTTAATTTGTGCATCTCCTGCTCTGCTACCAAACATAATATAGTAGGTTTTGTCAGTGTTAAGCGTAAGTTTATTGGCTGTCATCCAAGTCGATATTTTAATCAGCTCCTCATTCACAATGGTGTTGAGGGTGGCAAGATTAGGGTGAGAGATGACATAAGTCGTGTCATCAGCAAAGAGAATGGGTTTCAGGTGTTGGGATACGTTTGGAAGGTCATTGATGTATATGAGGAAGAGCAGGGGACCAAGGACACTTCCCTGCGGAACTCCAGTATCAAGTGGCCGTGTTGCTGATGCTGTGTCTTTAATGGCGACGTACTGATACCTATTAGTAATGTAAGATTTGAAATAAGCAAGCGCATGGCCTCTTATACCGTAATGATCAAGTTTGTTGAGTAGGATGTCGTGGTCTACTGTGTCAAAAGCTTTTCTTAGGTCAATAAAAATTCCTAGTGGATATTCCTTATTTTCCAATGCTGTGTAAAGCAGATCTAGCATTTTTATGATTGCATCATTAGTGCTTTTATTTTTCCTGAATCCAAACTGGCAGGGGTTGAGTATGTTTTGAGCCGTTATAAATGAATACAGTCTCCTGTGCACGAGTTTCTCAAAGATTTTGGATAGCAATGGTAAGTTAGATATTGGCCTATAGTTGTTTAAGTCTGTAGGGTCACCACCTTTATGTATTGGTGTAACCCTTGCCATCTTGAGTAGTTTCGGGAAGGTGCTAGTCTCTAGTGACTTGTTAAAAAGTAAGGATTACTGATAATCAGCCAGTCATCACTTCTTGTTGTTGGGTGTAAGGGTTGCTAGTTACTTTCTTCTTCTTGGGTTCGTAAGGGTTACTGATAATCAGCCAGTCATCACCTGTTGTTGGGTGTAAGGGTTGCTAGTTACTTTCTTCTTGGGTTCGTAAGGGTTACTGATAATCAGCCAGTCATCACTTCTTGTTGGGTGTAAGGGTTGCTAGTTACTTTCTTCTTCTTGGGTTCGTAAGGGTTACTTATAATCAGCCAGTCATCACCTGTTGTTGTTGGGTGTAAGGGTTGCTAGTTACTTTCTTCTTCTTGGGTTCATAAGGGTAACTGATAATCAGCCAATCATCACTTCTTGTTGATGGGTGTAAGGGTTGCTAGTTACTTTCTTCTTCTTGGGTTCGTAAGGGTTACTTATAATCAGCCAGTCATCACCTGTTGTTGTTGGGTGTAAGGGTTGCTAGTTACTTTCTTCTTCTTGGGTTCATAAGGGTTACTGACAATCAGCCAGTCATCACTTCTTGTTGTTGGGTGTAAGTTGACGATCAAGAAGACGAATGGAAAGGTAGAAACGATGAAGAAGAAAGAGACTGCCGTGGAAACTGTTGTGGAAACATCCAATACATTCTCAGTGCTACCCGACGAATGTGAGTCGAATACTGGGAACGTCACGACGAAAGACATTAAGGAAGGTACGAATATTGTTGTTGTTGGGGATAGCCAAGTTAGGTATATGGATAGGGCGTTCTGCTTGAAGGACAGGAGTAGGAGACAGAGAGTTTGCTTTCCTGGGGCTGGGATGGAGGATATTGTTAGCCGTCTGGATGACATCATGAGAGGTAATGGGAGCAATCCTATTATCTGTCTCAGTGCTGGAGGCAACGATGTTGGCAGACGTAGGAGTGAGGACCTGATTAGCAGGTATAGGTCAGCAATAGAAATAATTAGAAGTAAGGGTGGGAAACCTGTCATATGTGGTATTTTGCCAAGGAGAGGAGTTGGAAGTGAATGGTTGTCCAGGGCAATTGGTGTCAATTGCTGGCTGGACAAATACTGTAAGGAAAATGCGGTAACATTCATTGACAACTGGGACCTCTTCTATGGCAGAAATGACATGTATGCTAGGGATGGGGTTCACTTATCTAGGTGTGGGGTGGGAGCACTGGCAACTGCAGTGGAGGGAGCAGTTAGGACTTTAAACTAGGAATAGTTAGTGGTATGGGTTTTGGCAGGAAAACAGTGAAGTTCCAGTGTAGTAATATTACGAGTTCTAGGGGAAACTAGTAATAATAAGAACGAGATAGATATTGAAAAGCCAGGGACCTTGGGTGATAAGGACAGTATAGGTTTAGTAGAAAAATAGAAATGAGCAGGAAGGGTAAAGAGAAAGGAGAGTCTTTCATTGTTTATTATGCTAATTGCGTAGTGCTAGGAATAAGATGGAACGAGTTGAGATTAGTTGCTAGTGTAGGTAACATTGATGTATTTGCCTTAATTTGAGACGTGGTTTAATTCAAAAAGTCGGGACATGCCTGCGGAATGTCATATTCAGGGTTTTAAATTTTTCCCAAGAAGATAGAAGTATTGGGAGGGGGATGGGGTGGCATTGTATGTCCGAGATCGCTTGAACTGTTGCATAAAAACGGGTATTAAGTCTGAAGTAACACATACAGAGTCTGTTTGGATAGAATTTTCAGAGGGGCATGAAAAACTGATTTTAGGAGTGATATACCGTCCCCAAACTTAGATAGGGACCAAGGGAAACTACTATGGGAGGAAATTGTTAAGGCCACAAGGCACGATAATGTAGTAATTCTAGGAGACTTTAATTTTAGTCATGTTGATTGGAATTTCTTGACTGGGAATTTAGAATCATACGACTTCTTAGAAGTATTTCAGGATTGTTTTTTGAAGCAGTTTGTGACAAAAACCTACAAGGGGAAATAACCTGCTTGACTTAGTTATGGCAAACAATGAATCCCTTGTTAATAATTTAAAAATTTCAGAGGAACTGGGTGCTAGCGACCACAAATCAATTACATTTAGCATTGAATGGAAGTACGATAGTAGCGATAACTCAGTAACAGTCCCAGATTTTCGCTTAGCAGATTACGATGGGCTTAGAGAACACTTATCATCTGTTGACTGGGGTAACGAAGAGAGCTATCAATATGACAGTTTTCTGAACACTATACATGCTGCTCAAAGAGCGTTTATCCCATATGAAGAAATTAGATCAAATAGAAATGACCCAAAATGGATGAATAATAGGCTCAAATATCTACTAGGGCATAAGAAAGGAATTTATAGGCGTATCAAAAGAGGTGAGGGTCATCTTATGAATCAGTATATTGACAATTAAGAGGGACATTAAAAAGGGGATAAGAAAAGCTAAAAGGGACTATGAAATTAAAGTTGCTAGGGATTCTAAAACTAACCCAAAAAGTTTTTTCCAGACTATAGAACAAAGTTAGAGATAAGATAGGTCCCCTTAAAAAAAACTATGGGCACCTTACTGACAAAGAGAATGAAATGTGCTTGATTTTAAAAAATTATTTTCTCTCAGTTTTTACACAGGAAGACACTAACAATATTCCAGTAATTAAAATTTTTACAGTGGGCTAGAAGAAGATAAATTATGTAACATCACAGTCACTAGTGAGATGGTTGTGAAGCAGATAGACAGACTGAAGCAAAATAAGTCGCCGGGTCCTGATGAGGTTTTTTTCAAGGGTTCTTAAGGAATGCAAAATGGAACTCTGTGAACCATTAACTAATATTTTTAATTTATCTCTTCAAACAGGTGTAGTGTCTGATATGTGGAAGATGGCTAATGTAACTCCTATTTTTAAAACAGGGGACAAGTCGTTACCGTCAAATTACCGCCCAATAAGCCTCAATTGTAGGCAAATTACTAGTCAGTTATAGCTGAGATTATAAGAAGCCATCTCGATAAGCATAGCTTGATTAATGATACTCAGCATGGAAATTCACAAGAGGCCGGTCTTCTCTAACTAATTTATTAACTTTCTTCAGTAAAGCTTTTGAGGCTGTTGACCACAATAAAGAATTTGATATTATTTACTTAGATTTTAGTAAGGCTTTTGATAGAGTTCCGCACCATAGACTGTTAAAGAAAGTGGCAGCTCATGGCATTGGGGGAAAAGTGCTCTCGTGGATCGAGTCATGGCTCACTGATAGGAAGCAGAGAGTGTCCATAAATGGGGTTAAATCCGAGTGGGGATCTGTAACAAGTGGCGTTCCACAGGGATCAGTCTTGGGCCCGTTGTTGTTTATAATATATATCAATGATCTTGATGAGGGAATTACTAGTGATATGAGCAAATTCGCCGATGACACAAAGATAGGTAGGATAATTGATTCAAACGTAGATGTTATGGAACTTCAGGAGGATTTAAACAAACTCTATTCTTGGTCAGAAAAGTGGCAGAGTGCAGTTCAATGTAGATAAATGCAAGGTTCTGAAGCTTGGGAGTGCCCATAACCCTAGTACTTGTAAGTTAAATGATGTAGAACTTAGCCATACAGATTGCGAAAAGGACTTGGGGGTTATGGTGAGCAGCAACCTTAAACCAAGACAGCAATGCCTAAGCGTACATAATAAGGCAAATAGATTACTGGGATTTATATCAAGAAGTGTAAGCAACAGAAGTCCAGAGGTCATACTGCAGCTTTATACATCATTAGTAAGGCCTCACCTAGATTATGCAGCTCAGTTCTGGTCTCCGTATTACAAAATGGACATAAATTCGTTAGAAAACATTCAGCGTAGGATGACTAAATTAATACATAGCATAGAAATCTTCCTTATGAAGAAAGATTGAAGACTCTTAAGTTACATTCACTTGTTAGACGTAGAATGAGGGGAGACCTGATCGAAGTGTATAAGTGGAAGATAGGTATTAATAAAGGGGATATTAATAAGGTCTTGAGGATGTCTCTCCAAGAGAGAACCTCAGTAATGGATTTAAATTAGATAAGTTTAGATTTAGAAAGGACATAGGAAAGTATTGGTTTGGAAATAGGTAGTTGATGAGTGGAACAGTCTACCTATTGGGTTATTGAGGCTGGACTTTTGGTAGTTTCAAATCTAGGTTGGATAAGTACATGAGTGGGAGGGGTTGGATTTGAGTGGGACTTTCACATCAGAGCTTATTTCTTGGGTGGCATTGAAAATTGGGTTGGGCAAATGTTTTGTTAGTGGGATGAATTGTAAAGGACCTGCCTAGTATGGGCCAGCAGGCCTCCTGCAGTGTTCCTCCTTTCTTATGTTCTTATGTAGTTACTTTCTTCTTGGGTTTGTAAGGGTTACTGATAATCAGCCACTCATCACTTGTTGTTGTTGGGTGTAAAGGTTGTTAGCCACAGTTTTCTTGGGTTTGTATGGGTTACTGATGGCTTACAACCAGCCTGTCATGATTTATTCTTGTTGGGTGTAAGGGGTGTTAGTCACATTACTCATCTTATGCTTTTTGGGGTTATAAGGGCGACCGATGGTTTACAAGGAGCCAGGCATGACTTAATAATATATCTTTATTTACTATAAGTGCATGTACATGGTATACAGGCCTAGCTGACATCAATGACATACTACTATATAGAAAGCCACGTGTTATGCAGAGCATTTCGGGCAAATTAGGTTCGTTTTTGTCCCAGGATGAGACCCACACTAGTTGATTAACTTCCAGGTACCCATTTTACTGGTGGGTGAATATAGACAACCAGTGTAAAGAAACACGTCCAATGTTTCTACTCTCGCTGGGAATCAAACCCAGACACTCGCTGTGTAAATAGAGCTTTAGCCAACAGGACACGGGTCACCAACTTAGTAACTCCTGTTGTTATTGTTTGGTGTAAGGGTTGCTGGTCACATTCTTCTTCTCCTTGGGTTTGTAAGAGCCACTAACACCTTACCCTCAGCCAGTCATTCCTTCCTCACTCTTGTTCTTGTTGTTAGTTATTGCATGTAAGGGTTTTGAGCCATATTCCTCTTCCTTTTATTCTTGTTGGGGTAAGGGCAACTGACAGCTTACACCCAACCAGTCATTCCTCCCTCACTCTTGTTCTTGCTCTTCTTGGGTGTAAGGGTTGCCAGTCATGTTGCTTCTTCTGCTTCTTGGGATTGTAATGGCAATTGACAGCTTACCCCGGGAAAGTCATAACTTCTTGCAAGGACTGCAAGTCACATTCCTCCCTACTCTTGCTCCTGTAGGGTGTAAGGGTTGCCAGTCACATTTCTTCTTGCATTTGTAAAGGCCACCAATAGCTCATGCCAAGCGAGTCACAGTCCTCCCTCTCTCATTATTAGGTGTAAGGATCATGAGTACATTCCTCTCTTGTTGTTGGGTATAAGGATTGTGAGTTAGTCCTCCCTCACTCTTCTTGTTGGGTTTAAGGGTTTAAGTTACATTCTACTTCATTATGGTGTAAGGAATGTAAATCACATTCCTCCCTCACTCATCTTGTTGTAATGCCTGGTCTCAGACCAGGTCGCAGGGGCGTTGCCCCCCCGAAACCCTCTCCAGGTAAACTCCAGGTATGGGATATAAGTCACATTCTTACCTCACTCTTGTATGTAAGAATTACATTTTACATTTCTCCCACACTCTTATTTGTTGCTGGGCTGCGAGTCTCCGGGCAAATTTAAAACTGTCCAAGTCGTGACTTCATGGTGTTGAGGTTGGACAAATATATGAGTGAGAATTTGCTGAGAATTTGTAGCTTGGTGGCCTGGTGGCTAAAGCTCCCGCTTCACACGCGGAGGGTCCGGGTTTGATTCCCGGCGGGTGGAAACATTTCGACACGTTTCCTTACACCTGTTGTCCTGTTCACCTAGCAGCAAATAGGTACCTGGGTGTTAGTTGACTGGTGTGGGTGGCATCCTGGGGAACAAGATTGAGGACCACAATGGAAATAAGTCAGTCCTCGATGACGCACTGACTTCTTGAGTTATCTTGGGTGGCTAACCCTCCGGGGTTAAAAATCCAAACGAAATCTTATCTTAGGATTATTACAATAAAAACTAAATGATAAACCGGCAAGGGTCGTACAGCAGTTGGAGATTAGGTGTGGGGTTACCAGAAGTACTAAAAGGGCACATGAGGTGGTTGGGGTGGTTTAGACAGAATGGAGAAAATAGAATGATTAGGGCATATAAATCTGGGGTAGAGGTAAGGAGGGATATGGATATCCCAGGGAGGGTTAGGGGTAAAGGAGATATTAAGTGCTAGGGGTTCAGACATCCAAGAGGTCTTTATGATTTAATGTGCTGTTGGAGTGTGAGCAAGGTAACTTTTATAAAGAGATTCAGGGAAACTAGTTAGCTGGACATGAGTCCTGGAGATAAATACAGGTACAGTACCTGTACAGTACAGGTACAGTACCTGCACTCTGAAGGATGGGTCAGGATGCTGCACATCAGATTATCCAATCTGTGACGTCAGCATACTTTTGGCAAGACACTGAATGAATGATGGTGAAAGTGTTTCTGCTTTCTCAAGTTACATATGTCTGCTGGGAGACAGCAAATGTGTTAAAGAAAATGCAGTACAAATTTTAGTGAAAACTGAACATTAGTGTATAACACTGAATTAAAATTTGATGTTAAATTTAAATTTAACATCAAAAGAATTAAAGAACAAATAATTATATTTATATAATTGAAAATATGATTAAAAAATTAAGTAACATGATGTAATAATCAGCAAAAGGGAACTATATTAAATATTGCTTCAAGGTAATTCATTAAGCGCTGCTTCAAGGTAATTCATTAAGCGCTGCTTCAAGGTAATTCATTAAGCGCTGCTTCAAGGTAATTCATTAAGCACTGCTTCAAGGTAATTCATTAAGCACACAGTTTTGTTTTCAAGTATTTACTGGAAGTAAGTTGAGAAAATTTAATATAGTATTTGCTAAGTTATTTCCTATTTTTTGGCCTCTTTATTTACATCAAGTTTCTATAAAGATTAAGGCAAACATGAGGAATATCAAAGTGGTATTAAATTCCACTGTGATGCCTGTGTGTTGTGTAAGTTTTCCACGTGTCAGAGGTCAGTATCAGAATCACATTGTAGAGTTATGAAGATGTGGACTGGGATTCATCCACTGGTGACTCCACTTACCACTGCTCCACTTCATCCATTTGCAGTATATAAGCCTTATTTCTGCAAATATTCTGCACTTGTCCTGTTTCCTGACAAACCTGTCTAACCTAACCTATTATGCTGCAATTTTGCCAAGATTCATGGACTGAACACATCGACTCCAGGCTGAGGGATTGATTACCTCAAACTCGTCATCTTCCATTTCTCTGCACAGGACTGAAGAAGTCACTGGCTGGTGGAATGTTTCCAGTATAAAGATTCCCAAATGTTTACATAAGTGTCTCATTTATCAACTAGTCAGTTTCCTAAACCATTCATTCAAATCACAGTACTATGTGTGGCATATTCAGTAGGCTTAGGAATGTTGTAACTAAAATTTGAGTTGAATTTATATGTATTGCTGCTATATCTATTGTAAGAATAATTTCTTCTAGTAACATCTGCTGATAGTACAGTAAGTCTTCGATCTACAAACACATGTTGGAATCTCATGTACTGTGTATAATTAATACGTAATGACATACACAATAATTATATAACAATGATATTATACGCAATACCGTATTTGTAAGTCGAGGAATTACTGCACTTTGTAAAAGTTATACATAAGTGTATGTCATTTGAGCACTAATGGAGTTTTATTACCATGACTGGAAGAATTCATCAAAATCTTCACTTAGGCACATTATGGTGACGTTTTGGTTCATCCAGAGCCACTGACTTGACTGGACCAAGATGGTCCAAAACGTCATCATAAGCTTCAGATTTTTGGTGAAACGCTACTTGGAACAAAATGTGATCGCTGTAGCACTGCACCGATATCAGAGGTGGATCTACTTTGCAACTAATGAAGCTTAAGCTTTAGGGCCCCTAATCCTGGAGGTGCCCCAGTTCACACTGCTTAAAAATTCTGGGTCTACTGTATGAGAAGGGGTTGTGAAGGACCCCAAAAATGTAGGTCCAGCACAGCCTGATATTCAACAAAGCATTATTTGGATGTCATGGAAAAAGTACAAAAGGAAAAAAATTGTACAAAAACAAGTATAATTTAACAAAAAATTAATACAGTATACAATTATTAAATATAATTGCCAATACTGATGAGCTGTAACAATTTACCTTAGAAGAAAAAAATTATAGGGAAAACCTCACTTACACAGTGTAACTGCACACAGTGTAACTCAGAATTATCATGCATATGAACAAGTCTTGCTGTCATACGCCAAATATTTAACAAAAATGTAAAAATCTTCATTAAATAAAAGTATAAACATAAAAACAGCCTACTGTATTAACAATAATTGGTCATCATAACTACAAAAATAGCATAGTAACATTATTCAGGTTTTAATTTTGTTTTGTGTTGCATATAGCCAACAAGAGCGGCTCCCACGCCTGCTGAGATTGTTCCCATCACACCTGGACCATATACACTTATCTCCTGTGTCACACCCGCCACCATCGGGGTGACCATGCGAGCCACCGATGATATACTCTGCCCGAACCCAGTTACTGAGCCAATCTGTCATGGAGAATGTTGTAGTTATTATTGTGGTAAGTACTAGATCTATATGGGTCATGCACTGCCTGAGCAATGGGGTCTAATCAGGTGTGATCCAAGGAAGGGAAGGGTAGCTCCAGTTTCCTGGATCAAGAGCCTTTCATCATTAAGGTACACAAGTATTGTACCAATGACACAGTCATGAATATATATACAAGAAGTCCTCAACTTACGAACACACTGGGAACCTCCAGTGTATGTAGCCAGTAGGTACTATAGCCCAGGTGGACTACATCTGCCTGGGATGTAGTCCACCTGGGACTGTAAATAAATACTACTCGCCTCTTGCCCTACATGAAGACTACAAATACAGTGGACCCCCGCTTTACGATCAGCTCCCAATGCAACCAATTATGTAAGTGTATTTATGTAAGTGCGTTTGTACGTGTATGTTTGGGGGTCTGAAATGGACTAATCTAATTCACAATATTCCTTATGGGAACAAATTCGGTCAGTACTGGCACCTGAACATACTTCTGGAATGAAATAATATCGTAAACTGGGGGTCCACTGTATTGTGAGGTAAGTAATGATTGTACTAACCACTGAAGAGCTGCAACACTATAGTTATTTTCTATTATTATTATTATTATTATTATTATTATTATAATTATTATAATAAAAAAAGTGCTAAACCACAGTTATTCTCTATAAAATTTATTTTTTGTTAATATTTTTGGGTGAAACAGATTAATTGGATATACATTATTTCTTATTGGAAATATTACTTTGGTTTTTGGCCATTTCAGATTTCGGTCAACCTTCTGGAACAGTTTAACCCTTTGACTGCTTTCGACGAATAAATACGTCTCACGAGCCAATGTTTCTGACGTATATATACTCAATAATTCTAGCGGCTTCAAATCAAGCGGGAGAAAGCTGGTAGGCCCACATGTGAGAGAATGGGTCTGTGTGATCAGTGTGCACCACATCAAAAAAATCCTGCAGCACACATTGCATAATGAGAAAAAAAAAACTGATCGTTTTTTTGGAATAAAACGCCGACTTTGAGGTGTATTTTCATATAGTATTTATCGTTGTATTCGCGTTTTCATGGTCTTAGGTGATAAAATGGAAAACATATTACAGAAATAGAGATGATTTTCATTACTTTGACGATGAAAACAACCTTGACACTGAGCTCAAAGTAGCGGAAATGTTCGATTTTTACCAATGTTCAGGAGTAAACAAATCACACCACACGTCCAATACACATCAACTGGGGAGTCTAATATTCTTTCACTAGTGCACTGATATTATTTATACCATTTTTACAATAATGCAGTAGTCTGCATAACAGTAAATTTTGTATTTTTTTGTATGAATAAAAAATCAAAATAGCAATAATAATATAAGAGGGGCCTAGAGGTGTGACTAATGAACAGAGGATATGCTATTTTAGTGCCAAGAATGTCTACCTTGTTTATTCTGGACCCTATTTTGAAATTGGCATCTTTTTTAATTTGCGTGAAATTGGCCAAATTGCCAATTTCTGACCACTATATTGGGTAGTTCAAATTGGTAAATGGGCGGTTTCTTGTACTCAGCTGATAGATAAAATGGAGTTCTAAGGAAATAGCTATGAGTTTGGTCAACTGGAACAACGAAATTGGCTTAAAACAGGGCTCAAAGTCGGCGAAATCGCCGATACACATATGTTGCCGATTCCGCTAACTTCGTGGGAGCGTAATTCCGTGAGTTTTCGACCAAATTTCGAACTTTTGGTGTCATTACCATCGGGAAAAGATTCTCTATCATTTCATAAGAAAAAATAATTTTTTTTTTCGAATATTTGGCGACATAGAATGACAGTTTCAGAAAGGGGCCTGAAACAGTCAAAGGGTTAATTACGAAAACTGGGGATTACTGTATGTTATAAATGGTGCAAAGGTGACATTAAAACAATATCAAAGATGGTTGACACAAACCCACTACCAGTATGGTAGCCTCGTTGCTAAATGACCGATTCACTCACCAACCTACTCTTAGCAATGGAACCCCATTGTTAAGTAAGGAGAGGCTGTAACACGACTGCAAACAAACCACGGAATGGGTGGAGTTTAAACTCAGGGCAAGTGAGTTCTAAAATTCACAGGCCAGTATGTTAACCACTGGGCCAGCTGGCTACAGTAAGAGTCATCCAACTAGGTATATTTCTGTGCACCATAGGAAGGTTAGCACGGGCCACCACTGTGTACGACTCGTCTGTAAAATCTTGCATTTGTGGCCACATTGACCTGCAAGGGAAGTTCCTTGATGCTGGTGAGGGGCTCTTGATCTAGGGAATTGGATCTTTTCTCCAGTTTCTTGAATTAAGCCTGAATACCTTCCATTCCCCCCCCCACAGTGTTGTATTATCCCTACAGGTTTAGTGCTCCCCATGATAATAATGTGGTCACAGTGACGGCCCATGCTAACCTCCCTATGATGTACAGAAATGTATCTGGTTTGAATCTTATTGGAGCCAGCTGGCCCAGTGGTTAATACACCAATCCCTGAGTCTTAGCACTCGCTGGGCATTGGTTCAACCCTCACCCATTCCATGATTTGATTTTTCTAACTTCCATAATTTTTTTAATAAGTTAGTAACCAGTCACTTGTCAAAGTAGTAATTTCTCAGCATTTCCATATTATTATTATAATGGGGGAGCGCTAAACCCATAGGATTATACAGCACGTGGGGGAGGGAGTGGAAGGTATTCAGGCTCAATTCAAAGAACCGGAGCAAAGATCCAATTCCCTAGATCAAGAGCCCCTCACCAGTGTCGAGGAACCTCCCTTGAGGGGTGCATTTCCATAATAATCCTCTGCATCACTACCATAAAAAAAAAAAAACTTGTCTATTTAGGTCTTTAAGCACAAAGGACATAAAAAACAAAATTAAAACAGCAATTCTTTTCGACAAAAACTGACCTGCGAAGGCTCGCATCGACTGATTGTCACCGCAGAGCCACTGACTCGTATTACCGCTGTACTGATACACAATGGTATTAAGCAAAGCAAAAGTAATGAGAGTGAAGGGGCAACAGTTAGTCCCAACAGAGCTAGAGTCATCAATATAGAGCCATGGTAGAGTTCTTGCTGGGAGTCTCTATATATCTTGGAAACTTGTCCGGTGAAGAATCCTGCCACAGCACTGATAATTCCCTGTAGAAATTAATAGTAGGCACAGTAAGTTTATTTAGGTACAGGTATACATAAATACTGTTACACAAATTATCATGTGTACATAGTTAATAACAAAAAAGGCACAATACCGTGACTGGAACGATACACAAATAACCCGCACATAAAAGAGAGAAGCTTACGACGACGTTTCGTCGTCGTAAGCTTCTCTCTTTTATGTGCGGGTTATTTGTGTATGTGTACATAGTAACATTCTCCATGGGAAAGTGGAAAAGAATCCTTCCCCTGTAATCCATGTGCGTCATAAGAAGCAACTAAAATGCTGGGATTAGGAGGCTAGTAACCCCTTCTCCTGTATAAATAACTAAGTGTAAAAAAGAAAAACTTTTGGTTTTCTTTTTAGGCCACCCTGCCTTGGTGGGATGCAGCCGGAGTCTTTAAAAAGAAAATGTGTAAATTACCTAGCAGTATAACCCAAAAATAGTCAGTGACTTACTTCCATTGGGGTTCTTAGTTTCAAGACTATCAACTGCATAAGGCTGCATGTAGCCTTTTTTACCACCAGACAAGAATATTTTAATACATAAAATAGGAATAAACGTAAAAGATGGAAGTTTTTTCTTTCTTTTTGGGTCGCTCTGCCTCGGTGGGAAATGACTGACGTGTTAAAAAAAAAAAAAAGTAACCTCACCATATATACACTGAGAGACATGCACCTCTTGGTGTATATATCCATTGTTTACATGAAGATAAAAGTGGAGTGTGAGCAGGGTAATATTCAGTGAAGGGATTCAGGGAAACCAGTTATTTTATATAACCGGACTTGAGTCCTGGAAATGGGAAGTACAATGCCAGCACTCTAAAGGAGGGGTTCGGGATATTTGGCAGTTTGGAGGGATATGTTGTGTATTTCTATATGTATATACTTCTAAACTGTTGTATTCTGAGCACCTCTGCAAAAACAGTGATAATGTGTGAGTGTGGTGAAAGTGTTGAATGATGATGAAGGTATTTTCTTTTTGGGGATTTCCTTTCTTTTTGGGTCACCCTGCCTCGGTGGGAGACGACCAACTTATTGAAAAAAAAAAAAAAAGTGAATTAGCCACAAGTACTTAAGTTTAATTTATCACTAGTGAATGAATACATATACGTCTACATCTCAAATTACCATGATTTCACCTACGATATTTCCATTTTACAATGGTGTGAAAGCAATTACTTTGAGATGGAACTTAAGATAATTACCCAACATGAAGGCAGCAAGTCCCTAACCTGTATTCATTTATTGACTTTTCAGTACAGTGGACCGCCGCATAACGATGGCATCACATAGCGATTAATCCGCATACCGGTTGCTTTAATCGCAAAAATTTTGCCGCGCATACCGCTTAAAAACCTGCTCACCGATTTTCGTCCAAGACGCGTCCAATGTGTGCCCTCAGCCAGCCTCACATGTGCTGCCCGTGCCATTGTTTACCAGCCAGCCTCCGCGGTAACATCCAAGCATACAATCGGAATATTTCGTATTATTACAGTGTTTTCGGTGCTGTTTCTGGAAAATAAGTGACCATGGGCCCCAAGAAAGCTTCTAGTGCCAACCGTACACCAATAAGGGTGAGAATTCCAATAGAAATGAAGAAAGAGATCATTGATAAGTATGAAAGTGGAGTGCGTATCGCCGACCTGGTCAGGTTGTACAAGAAACCCCAATCAACCATCGCTGCTATTGTGGGCACCAGAAAGGCAATCAAGGAAGCTGTTCTTGCCAAAGGTTTAACTGTGTTTTCGAAACAAAGATCGCAAGTGATGGAAGATGTTGAGAGACTCTTATTGGTGTGAATAAATGAAAAACAGCTAGCAGGAGATAGCGTCTCTCAAGCGATCATATGTGAAAAGCTAGGAAGTTGCATGAGGATTTAATTAAAAAAAATGCCTGCAACTAGTGATGATGTGAGTGAATTTAAGGCCAGCAAAGGTTGGTTTGAGAGATTTAAGAAGCGTAGTGGCATACATAGTGTGATAAGGCATGGTGAGGCTGCCAGTTCGGACCACAAAGCGGCTGAAAATATGTGCATGAATTCAAGGAGTACATAGACAGTGAAGGACTGAAACCTGAACAAGTGTTTTAAATTGTGATGAAACAGCCTGTTTTGGAAGAAAATGCCAAGCAGGACCTACATTACTCAGGAGGAAAAGGCACTCCCAGACATAAGCCTAATGAAAGACAGGCTTACTTTGTTGATGTGTGCCAATGCTAGTGGTGATTGCAAAGTTAAGCCTTTATTAGTGTATCACTCTGAAACTCCCAGAGCGTTCAGGCAAAAGAATGTCCTCAAGGATAATTTGTGTGGTGCTGTGGAGGGCAAACAGTAAGGCATGGGTCACTAGGGACTTTTTCTATAACTGGTTACACCATGCATTTGCCCCCAATGTGAAAGATTACCTAACTGAAAAGAAATTAGAACTTAAGTGCCTCCTGGTGTTAGACAATGCCCCTGGTCATCCTACAGACGTGGCAGAGCGACTTTATGGGGACATGAGCTTCATTAAGGTGAAGTTTTTGCCTCCTAATACCACTCCTCTCCTGCAGCCCATGTGACCAGCAGGTTATTGCAAACTTCAAAAAAGTACACAAAAGCTCTGTTTGAAAGGTGCTTTTAGTGACCTCAGAAACTCAACTGACTCTAAGAGAGTTTTGGAGAGAGCACTTTAATATCCTCAATTGTGTAAACCTTATAGGTAAGGCTTGGGAGGGAGTGACTAAGAAGACCTTGAACTCTGCTTGGAAGAAACTGTGGCCAGAATGTGTAGACAAAAGGGATTTTGAAGGGTTTGAGGCTAACCCTGAGAGGATTATGCCACTTGAGGAATCCATTGTGGCATTGGGAAAGTCCTTGGGGTTGGAGGTTAGTGGGAGGATGTGGAAGAGTTGGTGAGGAGGACAATGAAGAACTAACCACTGATGAGCTGATAGATCAACTTCAAGAGCAAGAGGCCAGACCTGAGGAAACTGGTTCAGAGGAGGGGAGAGAGAAATTGAAGAAGTTGCCTACTACAAAGATTAAGGAAATGTGTGCAAAGTGGCTTGAAGTGCAAACCTTTTTTTGATGAAAATCACCCTCACACAGCTATTGCAAGCCGTGTTGGCAACCTGTACACTGACAATGTTGTGAAAACACTTTAGGGAAGTCATAAAGGAACGAGAGGTACAGGCCACTATGGACAGATATGTTGTGCGAAAGAAGTCCAGTGACTCTGAAGCTGGTCCTAGTGGCATTAAAAGAAGAAGGGAAGTAACCCCAGAAAAGACTCGACACCTCAAGTCTTAATGGAAGGGGATTCCCCTTCTAAACACTATACACTCTCTCTCCCCCTCCTCCCATCCCATCAATCATCACCAGATCTTCAATAAAAGTAAGTGTCATGTAAGTGTGCATGCCTTTTTCAGTTTGTGTGTATTAAAATTAACATTTCATGTGGTAAAAAAATTTTTTTTTCATACTTTTGGGTGTCTTGCACGGATTAATTTTATTTCCATTATTTCTTATGGGGAAAATTCATTCACATACCGATTATTTCGCATAACAATTTCCCCTCTTGCACGGATTAAAATCGTTATGTGGGGGTCCACTGTACTGGTATTTAGTTACAGTAATTATTTGCTTATTTACTTGTTTAGTGATAATACGTACAGCCTCTCCTCACTTAACGACGGAGTTCCATTCCTAAGACCACGTCAGTAAACAAATTCTTGGCAAAGTGAAAAGCATACTTTAATGGTAGCGAGTTGTGTCGACCATCCCCCTCAAGGAAGGTTCCATGATGTTGGTGAGGGGCTCTTGATTTAGGGAATTGGATCTGTGCTCCAGTTCCCCGAATTAAGCCTGAATCCCTTCCACATCTCTCCCCCCAGGCGCTGTATAATCCTCCGGGTTTAGTGCTTCCCCCTTGATTATAATAATAATGTGTCAACCATTTTTTATATTGTTTTAATGCCGCCTTTGTGCCATTTATAACATTTTAGTATATTTTTAAATGTTTATACAGTAGTGTAGTGTATATTGTAATAAACAGAATAGAGGAAATCAGCTTTAATATACATTATTTAGGCATGCATACTGGTCATAGTCTGTCGTAAGTACGAGGCATCGGTAAACAAGTACGTCACTAAGTAAAGAGAGGCTGCAGCTATTTATCTACTTATTTATCTGGCATATTATATTTGGCTTACAATATTTTTGACTTACAATGAGTTCATAAGAATGTAACACAATTGTAAGTCGAGGAGTACCCGTACAGTACCTGTTCTGTATTTACACACGTTCTTACCTGGAATGAGATAAGATATCCAATAACCACTGGACTTGCTCCAAAATTCTGATTAATCAAGAGCGAGAAGTTAGATCTATACACAAGAGAGGAAAAGCTCAGGAAAAATCTGATGAGAAATATATCCCAAAATATGTGCCAGTCAATGTCCTTCACGAATGCAAACGACCGACCGCTGCCATCACTCTTGTAACTTTTTTTCGACAACTTGAACTGTTTCACACGGACCTCAGGGATGAACATCCAGCACAGCACTGTAACAAATAGTACTAATACAGTAAATGCTCTTATAGAACCCCCTCTGTATAGCGCAACTATTTGTATAGTGCATTTCCTTGTACATATAAGCAATTGTTTGTACATCAATTGTTTGTACATCAATTGTTTGTACATCAATTGTTTGTACATCAATTGTTTGTACATCAATTGTTTGTACATCAATTGTTTTTTACATCAATGTTTGTACATCAATTGTTTTTTTACATCAATTGTTTGTACATCAATTGTTTGTACATCAATTGTTTGTACATCAATTGTTTGTAGTACATGTACTGCACATGCAATTGAAAAAATACATCCAAAATTAATCAGCACCAGAAAGGCCATCATAGTAAATATTATTCAATTTCTGTATAAATTCTTTCAATCACATTTATAAAACAAAAAAAATCACACTATATATACAGGAGCCTTATAAGTGAGGTCACTATAAATACCAGAATTTTAACTTAAGGTATAAAGGCTACATAATGACTGTTTATAAATTATTTTAAGGTTTTTACACTACAGTAGACCCCTGTATCAATGAATTTGGTTTCTGTGGTTTCAGTTATCTACGGTTCACCATAACCTGACAACTCTAAATTTTGCATAATAATGTCCCCAAAGTGTAGAAATAGTGATGGTGGCAGTTCTTCAGAGTTTAAGAGAAGCTGTGAAATACTTCCCATCAGTGAAAAAATGATAATTATCTACTTATTGTGCATAATTTATCAATTAAACTTTATCACAGGTATGTACCTCGAAAGGGTTGGAGAGAGGGGGTAGAGGAGGTTTTGTGGGTAAGGGGCTTGGACTTCCAGCAAGCGTGCGTGAGCGTGTTAGATAGGAGTGAATGGAGACGAATGGTATTTGGGACCTGACGATCTGTTGGAGTGTGAGCAGGGTAATATTTAGTGAAGGGATTCAGGGAAACCGGTTATTGTCATATAGTCGGACTTGAGTCCTGGAAATGGGAAGTACAGTGCCTGCACTTTAAAGGAGGGGTTTGGGATATTGGCAGTTTGGAGGGATATGTTGTGTATCTTTATATGTGTATGCTTCTAGACTGTTGTATTCTGAGCACCTCTGCAAAAACAGTGATAATGTGCGAGTGTGGTGAAAGTGTTGAATGATGATGAAAGTATTTTCTTTTTGGGGATTTTCTTTCTTTTTTGGGTCACCCTGCCTCGGTGGGAGACGGCCGACTTGTTGAAAAAAAAAAAAAAAAAAAAAAAAAAAATGTACCGTATTTTGTGGCTTATTAGACACTTGTTTTTTTTTCCATAAAATGTCTCCAAAAACCAGCCTGCGTCCTATAAACTGAAGGTAAGTGACGGGAGCTATACGTTTGGGGTGTGGGGTGGACTGTAGCTCTTCCAGTTACTTCTGATGCCAAGCCACTGAAACTAAAGCCTCATAAGCTGCGTCTTATAAGCCGGGAAATACGGTATATATAGGGTTCACTACTATCCTGGGTTTTGGGTATCCAGGGTAAGTCTTGGAGGGTATCCCTGCAGATACAGGGGGACTACTGTGTACAGTATATACAGTGATAAAGTAAATGATGGTGAAAGTGTTTCTTTGTTGGGTAATCCGCCCTTGGTGGGAGACGGCCAGTGTGTTAAAATAAAAATGATAGAAGCTTATACTAATCATACACTTACAAACACACTGGAGACCTCCTGAATTGTGTATATTGATATATTAATAATAGTAAAATACACAATACAGGAGATTCTCAACGTGTCTGTCAGTCGAGGACTTGGTGTACAACATTAACAACTGTTTACCTACCGAAGTTTATAAGAAATAGAGAAGCGCCCAGGTTGCACACTACTTTAAATCCATCCTCCAACTCTGATATATGACCTGAAATACAAGTTCAACACTCAAAATACAATTTTAATACAAGATTTTACCAGCTCCATACTGATCATATAGATCTGACTGACTTCTTCCTGTACAATGAAACTGTAGCAGCAGTTTCGGTTAAAAGTGTGATAATTTATGCATTCTAGGTAAATATCTAGGAATGTCAATGCTTCAAATGGCTCTAAATTGTTGAAATGTCCAATAAAACACCATTTTAGCACATTTTTCTAATTTGTTTAATATTACAGAATGCAAGAATATACAACTACACTATACAACTACTTTACCATACATTATACAGTACTGTACAACTAAACTATACAACTACAGTACAACACTTACACTATACAGTACAACTACACTATACAGTACAACTATGTTATACAACATATACACAATATAACAGTTACAAACCACAAAATGGGTGGGGTTAGAACCCATGGCAAGTGAGTGGTGAAACTCCAGGCCAGTACATTAACCACTGGGCCAGCTGGCTACAATAAGAGTCATCCAACTAGGTATATTTATACACCATAGTGAGGTTACAGTGGGGCCCATGCTAACCTACCTGTGGTGTGTAGAAATTTACCTACTTAAATGGATCTTACCGTAACCAGCTGGTCTAGTGACTTACGCACTGGCCTGGAGTTCTGGAGTTTTAAGACTCGCTCGCCATGGATTAAAACCCCACCCATTCCGTGGTTTGTCTGCAATCATGTTATTATGAATTTGTGAGTCATGAAGGTACAAGAGTTATATCAGTTTGTCCAAAATGCTTTGCATATTAAGCAATTTTCACTTTACAGCAGTAGCCTGGAATCTAACCTGCTGTATAAGTGGGACCCTACAGTATCCCAGAACTTAACCTGTTGTATAAGTGGGACCCTACAGTATCCCAGAACTTAACCTTTTGTATAAGCGGGATCCTACAGTAGCCTGGAACTTAACCTGTTGTATAAGTGGGATCCTACAGTAGCCTGGAACTTAACCTGTTGTATAAGTGGGATCCTACAGTAGCCTGGAATCTAACCTGCTGTATAAGTGGGACCCTACAGTATCCCAGAACTTAACCTGTTGTATAAGTGGGACCCTACAGTATCCCAGAACTTAACCTGTTGTATAAGCGGGATCCTACAGTAGCCTGGAACTTTACCTTCTGTATAAGTGGGGCCCTACAGTAGCCTGGAACTTTACCTTCTGTATAAGTGGGGCTCTACAGTAGCCCGGAACTTTACCTTCTGTATAAGTGGGGCCCTACAGTAGCCTGAAACTTTACCTTCTGTATAAGTGGGGCCCTACAGTAGCCTGGAACTTTACCTTCTGTATAAGTGGCGTCCTCCTGTAACTTCTTCATACACTTCTTAAAAATGAAAATTTCTTTTCTTTCTGATAGACAAGAGATAAGGAGGTGACAGATCTTACCTCCGAGCATGGGACCTATGATGAACCCTATGCTAGATGCAGCGTTAAATGTTCCAAAAGTCTGCGATCTTTCCTCTGGAGAAGTTATGTCGGCAAGCAGAGCTCGACATACAGTCTGGCTGTGCTTAAACAATCCTGTAAATGTGATGAAATAGTATATTCAAAATTTCTGATAATGGTCAGTTTAGGATTTGAAATATTAACTGCATATAAATATGTACATAATATTATGCAAAAATCGAAAATGAGCGACACAAGATGCAAAGCAAAACTGGGGGGGGGGGGATGAATGATAGACCTAGACTTTTCATGTTGCAATCAACATATCAGGAGCTTGCAATGTTGCAGACAAGAGAAGGTACAAGCAAATACGATCACAGGGAGCTCCTTTGCTGGATCATTCGACTCCCACCATGGTTGTTTTGCACGTATATAATATATACAGTACAGGGAGCAAGGGGACGGTAACCCTTTCTACATAAATTACTAAATGAAAAAAGAAAAACTATAATTTTCTATTTTTTTTTTTTTTTTTTTTTTTTTTCTTTGTCACCACACCTCAGTGAGAGACAGCTGTGTGTGAGTAAAACAAAAAATAATATAACTGATATAACTGTGTATAAACATTATTTTTCAGTCCACAGCAAGATTTGAACCTGCACACTGCATCAAAGTATGCATATACACCTAAATGTCACCCACCTCTGTACAAACACTGCATCATACTGAGACGAAGATTCTGAATCACATAAAGGAGGACTTCAATTGACAGTGCTTTGCTTTATGGCATTTCACTAATACAGCGGCTTGCAATTATATTCATTCTTCGTTTATTCAGACTTCTTACAATAAATATATTCACCACTCACTATAAGCTAAGGACAAAAATATTTTAAGGTAAGTAATGTGTGTACTGTATATGCATTTTTTAGGCCTAGTTATATTGTTAACTTAATACAGTGGACCCCCGGTTAACGATATTTTTTCACTCCAGAAGTATGTTCAGGTGCCAGTACTGACCGAATTTGTTCCCATAAGAAATATTGTGAAGTAGATTAGTCCATTTCAGACCCCCAAACATACACGTACAAACGCACTTACATAAATACACTTACATAATTGGTCATATTCGGAGGTAATCGTTATGCGGGGGTCCACTGTACTATATGATAGTGTAAACATGTTAAAAAGCTATATTTCACTTTACAGAAGTAGCCTGGAACTTAACCTGCTGCATAAGACGGGCCGTTCCTGTACATTAGTAGCTCAGAACCTAACCTGCTGTATAAGTGAGGCCCTACAGTAGCCTGAAACCTAACCTGCTGTACAAGCAGGGCCCTACAATAGCCTGAAACCTAACCTGCTGAATAAGCAGGGCCCTACAGTAGCCTGAAACCTAACCTGCTGTATAAGCAGGGCCCTACAGTAGCCTGAAACCTAACCCGCTGTATAAGCAGGGTCCTACAGTAGCCCAGAACCTAACCTGCTGTATAAGCCAGGCCCTACAGTAGTCTGAAACCTAACCTGCTGTATAAGCAGGGCCCTACAGTAGCCCAGAACCTAACCTGCTGTATAAGCCAGGCCCTACAGTTGCCTGAAACGTAACCTGCTGTATAAGCAGGGCCCTCCTGTACAGATAATTTTCAACTGACTAACCTGCAATAGCTCTCCCAATGATGATGACCAGCAGAGATTGGGTAGCCCCAAGTACCAAGTAACTGAGAGCTGTTGCTATTAAGCATACCATCATGACAGGTCGTCGACCCGCCACATCGCTCCACCGACCCTGTGTAGTATTTTAATTGTTGTCTGAGTAATAAACATATTCTCTTGCTGCAAAATAACCACTGTGAAAACATTATGAAGTTCCAAATGCATTCGTGATTTCTCACATCATCAAGGAACTGTAAAAAAATAGGACAGCAGAAGGCTTATAAGGCTGAGATATCATCTGGTGTACCTTTTCCTGAAGGTACCAGATAACTGATGATCTACTGTGGTATACTACACAAGATCACACAGTACCAGATAACTGATGATCTACTGTGGTATACTACACAAGATCACACAGTACCAGATAACTGATGATCTACTGTGGTATACTACACAAGATCACACAGTACCAGATAACTGATGATCTACTGTGGTATACTACACAACAAGATCACAAGGTACCAGATAACTGATGATCTACTGTGGTATACTACACAACAAGATCACACAGTACCAGATAACTGATGATCTACTGTGGTATACTACACAACAAGATCACACAGTACCAGATAACTGATAATCTACTGTGGTATACTACACAACAAGATCACAAGGTACCAGATAACTGATGATCTGTGGTATACTACACAACAAGATCACAAGGTACCAGATAACTGATGATCTACTGTGGTATACTACACAACAAGATCACAAGGTACCAGATAACTGATCTACTGTGGTATACTACACAACAAGATCACAAGGTACCAGATAACTGATGATCTACTGTGGTGAACTACAAACCAATATCACTTACACAATTAAAGAAAAAACATAAAACCAATGTAAATAGATATACAAATTTTTATTTCTTAATGTGGTCCAAAAATAATGTAGTTTACATTGGAAAGGACAGGAGAAAGCCACTAGTTTACAATGCATTTTGTGGATTTTGAGACATTTTATTCAAGACTTGAGTCCTGGAGGTGGGAGGTACAGTGCCTGCACTCTGAAGGAGTGGTGGGGGTATGGTGCAATTTTTTAATAGTAGTATCGGCACACCTCCAGCAAGACAGTGATGGAGCGAGTGACGGTGAAAGAGTTTCATCTTTTTTTTGAGTCACCCTGGGTCATGTCACGACCGACATGTTAATAAAGATAAATACTCATACACATACCACAGCAGGGCTGGAGAATAGCTGGATGGCACCGTAAAGTGAGGTGATTCCACCAGCTACAAAATGGGTGACGCCCAAACTCTTTACCAGTGGAAGGATCAGGGGAAGAATTAGGCTCACTCCAAGAAGGTCCTGAAATATTGCATTAATGTAATTATTTTATGTTTATAACTTACGAAAATATTATAATAATGGTATACACACCTAACTTTGTTGAAGATTATGGAGATGAACACTTATCAAGGCTGAGGGACTGATCACCTCAAAACTAATTTTCAAGGCTGAGGGACTGATCATATCATCATTACCTGTCCGCTACTTTCCTGTCTCTATATTTAGTCACCTCTGCATTCGACTGAAGAAGCCTACTGTGAAAATAAACACAATGTTTCAGAAATAAATGGAGGTTCCTTGATGCTGTTGAGGGGCTCTTGGTCTAGGGAATTGGATCTGTGCTCCAGTTCCCTGAATTAAGCCTGAATACCTTCCAACCCCCCCCCCCCCACAGGCACTGTATAATCCTACAGGTTTAGAGCTTCCCCATGATTATAATAATTATAATCAGAAATAAAAATACTTAACTGCTGCACATGTGTCTTATTCATTAACTTATTTAAGAAATTACTGTCCTTAAATTCCCAAAACTTCAATAATACACAAACTACTAACCGAACCATGAATCCGTCTACAGTAGTTTGAATAAATGGTTCATCAAGAAGCATTACATGGATTATATACTTGTCTGCCATACCCAAGGGTATCTGCTGGAAGTTTTCCAGGCGTAGGGTAAGACAGAAGAGCAAGCTGCGTGGGTCCCTGATGTTTGTAAGTTTTAATGGCACAATTGCAAAAAAAAAATCACAGAATGGGGGTTTAAACCCATGGCCAGTGAGTACTAAAACTCAAGAGGTGAGCTAACCACTGGGCCAGCTGGCTCTAATAAGATTCATCCAACTAGGTACGTATATTTCTATACATAAAAGGAAGGTTAGCACGGGCCAAAAATGTGACCACAATGACAGTGTTTTACAGAGAAATCCCACACCAGCACTGACCTGTGAGTTTTAGGACTTCTTGACATCGATTCAATCCCACCCATTCCATGATTAGTTAATTTTCCAAGATCCAGTGAGGCTGCCCATGGTCACATTTTTCATTTATTTCATTCAATAATTATAAATTTTCATAAATCTAATTAATAATTAAAACATCAATTAAAACTCACCAGAAAGCCAATGATATAGACGAGGCGATGAATTCTGGACACATTCATTGCAGCCGATTACTATCAAGAAAGGCTGTTGTTAATACCGTTTAACTACAAAACAAAAAGGCACAATACCGTGACTGGATCAATACACAGATAACCCGCACGTAGGAAAGAGAAGCTAAAAAATACTCGTCCTACTTTGCTCTACCACTACTACTACACTACTACACTACTACTACACTACTACTACTACTATTACTACCAGCCTTACCACTACCACTATTTAATTTTCTTCCTTTCTTGGTCTCGTTCATGTCCCCCTCAACTATATATACTGGCTCCCTCACTTTTTTGTGTCAGTGTGACTTTGTAAATGGTCAAAGTCAGACTGAAACATCGTCTTAAGCTTCTATGTCCCATGTGCTGGTTATCTGTGTTTTATTCCACTAAATCATTTATTAGTGTTTCTTAATACACACTTTTCATGTAGTGTTTAAAACAGGTTTATAGTTAAATGTCAGAATCAGACGTAAAATAATGCTAATGTTGTCTTTTATAGCCAGGTCTTCTCAACTCGGCTTATCTAGCAGTGACTGTTTTATGAAGCAAGACCTGGAGTTTACCTGGAGAGAGTTCCGGGGGTCAACGCCCCAGCGGCCCGTCTGTGACCAGACCAGTGTAGGTTAATTAATATCATTGTAACTCTGCAACAGTTTTGATGTGAGCTGAGGTAGGATAAGAGATCTCAGCCTCCTAAACTGATTTGTAAAAAAAAAAAAAAGCCAGAACACAATGTGAATATCTTTCAATGATGTCAAATGTTAGGTCAAACTAGGCTGACTTTAGACATGTTAGACAGGGCTAAAACTAGATTATATTACATAAATTCTAGCATGGTTGATTACATCATGTTCAAATTAATAAATAAATAAATAAATAAAAACATTGCTAAGCTAGCTTTAGAGAAAATAAAGCTCATACTGTCATGAATTCTCATGAATTTATGTACCAATCTATAAGAAAAATTGCAGAAACAAATTAATTTTTAAACAGACAATTTGACATGTCTGACCATCTAGCTAAAAAAATAAGAAAAAAGCACAAGACTACTATATCCTGTACAGTAAACTAAATGAACATTAAAATGATATAAAATATCGACAGGTTGTTAGGTAAGACACATATGCAACAGTTAGGTATCTTTATTTCGAAACGTTTTGCCTACACAGTAGGCTTCTTCAGTTTCAGACTATGGAACAATACTCTTCTCCAGACTGAGGGACTGACCACCTCAAAAACTTCAAGGGTGATGGACTGATTACATCGTCTTCAAGTATCTTCTGCTTCTATCAACTTTTCTGTACTCGACTGAAGAAGCCTACTGTGTAGGCGAAACTTTTCGAAATAAAGATACCTAACTGTTGCATATGTGTCTTACCTAACACACAGTAAACTAAATACTGAGAATTTACCCACAGACGAGAAGGACGTAAGGAAGACAGCGACCATCCAGAGAGGTACCGCCTTTCTATTATGCAAGTGACAAAGAAAGGGAATAAATATTTGAATTCAAGTTGAGTGATGAACAACTAAAGTGAGACACAAAATTTATAAAACAGGTGTAAGTTTATGTTAGTACAAGTACGCATAAGTACAATTATCATACATAATGTGAATTACCCTTCAGGATAATCCCAAAAATAAACCAAAGTGACTTATTCCCATGCACTCTACTACTATCACTTTGGTTAATTTTTTTTCAATTTACATGCAGCACTGTATGACCATTATGGGTCTGGTGCTTAGTTATGATTATACTAGTAATTATAATTTCAATTTACATCTGTAGCCTCTTGTTATCCCTGTTATCTATAATTATCATAAGTCAGTGGCAATACCAAAGGAAGCAAGGGAAATTTTTCAGCTCCCAAATAAATAATAATAATTCTGCTTCAAAACTAGTCTCCTAGCAGCAACCTCCAGCCAAGCAGCCATCCCAATACCCCTCTGAGCAAAGAAATTCATGCACTGCCCGTTGCACATACAGACTCTCCTCACTTAGCGATGAACTCATTTCCCAATGACTCGAACTTAAAATGGGCTCTCTGATCAGTATTCATACCTAAATAATGTATATTAGAGCTGATTTCTTCTATTCCATTTATTACAATATACAGTACAATACTGTATAAACATTTAAAAATATATCAGAAATGTTATAAATGGTGCAAAGGTGACATTAAAACAATATCAAAGATAGTTGACACAAACCCACTACCATTATAGTATGCTCCTCACTTAGTGACGAATTTGTTTACCAACGTGGTCTTAGGAACGGAAATCCGTTGTTAAGTGAGGAGGCTGTAGCTGTATTCATATCAAGGTCAGATATACCTGGAGTATACCTTGAGGGTGTTTTGGGTGTCTACACCCTCACGACCTGGTCCATGATCAGGTCTCGTGGTGGATCAGGACCTGATCAACCAGGCTGCTACTGCTGGCTGCACACAAACTATTGTAGGAACCACAGCCCGGCTGGCCAGGTACTGACTTTAGGTGTCTGTCCAGCTCCCTCGTGAAGATGACCAGGGGTCCTGAAGACAGCCAGGGGGTCTCGAAGACAGACCAGGGATCTATTGCTAACCCCCCGTATGTATGATGGGAGGCAGTCGAACAGTCTTGGGCCCCTGACACTTAGTGTTGCTTTTCATTGGGGGGATGTTGCATCTCCTGCTGAGACTTTTGCTTACATACGATGGTTTAGTGCATATTACATTGTTTGTACAGCAGTTGTTAATATTTTTGTAGATTAATAAAATATTTTACCAGAGTAATAATTGATTAGAGACTACCTTAAGTAAACGGTAACTTTTATTTTTCACTTACCTTTATTTACTTTGATTTGCCTTATACTTTATTTAAATTTAAAACAAACAATTATCAGTGAATAAATAGGATGGATGCGGAGCTGAAACCACGGTCCATAAATTGACAGTCCAAAGCTCTACCGTCTCAGCGATCCGGGATGGTAGATTGTCTTAGCGACCGGGATGGTAGATAGTCTTGGCGACTGGGATGGTAGAACGTCTTGGCGACCCTGAATGGTAGACCATCTTGGCGACCCTGGACAGTAGACCGTCTTTGCGACCAGGATGGCAGACTGTCTTGGCGACCCTGGATGGTAGACCGTCTTGACAACGAGGGATGATAGGCCATCTTGGCGACCAGGGATGATAGGCCGTCTTGGTGACCAGGATGGCAGACTGTCTCGGCAACCCAGGACAGTAGACTGTCTCAACGACCCAGGACAGTAGACTGTCTCAGCGACCCAGGACAGTAGACTGTCTCGGCGACCCAGGACAGTAGACTGTCTCGGCGACCCAGGACAGTAGACTGTCTCGGCGACCCAGGACAGTAGACTGTCTCAGCGACCCTGGACAGTAGACTGTCTCGGCAACCCAGGACAGTAGACTGTCTCGGCGACCCAGGACAGTAGACTGTCTCGGTGACCCAGGACAGTAGACTGTCTCAGCAACCCAGGACAGTAGACTGTCTCAGCGACCCAGGACAGTAGACTGTCTCGGCAACCCAGGACAGTAGACTGTCTCGGCAACCCAGGACAGTAGACTGTCTCGGCAACCCAGGACAGTAGACTGTCTCAGCGACCCAGGACAGTAGACTGTCTCAGCGACCCAGGACAGTAGACTGTCTCGGCAACCCAGGGCAGTAGACTGTCTCGGCGACCCAGGGCAGTAGACTGTCTCGGCGACCCAGGACAGTAGACTGTCTCAGCAACCCAGGACAGTAGACTGTCTCGGCAACCCAGGACAGTAGACTGTCTCGGCAACCCAGGACAGTAGACTGTCTCGGCAACCCAGGACAGTAGACTGTCTCGGCAACCCAGGACAGTAGACTGTCTCAGCGACCCAGGACAGTAGACTGTCTCGGCAACCCAGGACAGTAGACTGTCTCGGCAACCCAGGGCAGTAGACTGTCTCGGCAACCCAGGGCAGTAGACCGTCTCGGCGACCCAGAGCAGTAGACCATCTCGGCGACCCAGGACAGTAGACTGTCTCGGCGACCCAGGACAGTAGACTGTCTCGGCAACCCAGGACAGTAGGCTGTCTCGGCACCCAGGCAGTAGACTGTCTCGGCGACCCAGGACAGTAGACTGTCTCGGCGACCCAGGACAGTAGACCATCTCGGCGACCCAGGACAGTAGACTGTCTCGGCGACCCAGGACAGTAGACCATCTCGGCGACCCAGGACAGTAGACTGTCTCAGCGACCCAGGACAGTAGACCGTCTCAGCGACCCAGGACAGTAGACCATCTCGGCGACCCAGGACAGTAGACCATCTCAGCGATGGGGTGGTAGACCGTCTCAGTGACCCGGGATGGTAGACCATCAGACTGTCAATTTACATACCAAGGTTCAAGCCTTTCATCCATCCTTTACTTTACTTAATTTACTGATCTTTGTTTCAACTTTACTGAGCTTTATTTTCTTATATTACCTTACTTTCCTACTTTCTTACTTTACTTTCTTACTTTACTTTCTTACTTTCCTAACTGGCCAGCATATGCTATAATGTCCACCTATGTATATTTTTAACCATTTTTTACGAAGAAATAATCCTACAGATGGAGGCTCATGGTAGGCCTATGTATATCTTGATATCTTATGATAGGCCGCTACGTATAAGTAGGACAGGAAGTAAGAAAACTTATCTTATCTTAACCTTATTTTACCTGGTTGTTGTTATTTTGTTGTTGTTGGTTTGTAGAGACTTCCGGCCCGAGGACCGTATGAACCTAACCGGTAATGAGTTCGGATTTGTGGGTGTTAGTGGGTAATGGGTTCGGATTTGTGTATGTCAACCGGTAATGGATTCGGATTTGCCGATGCCAACCGGTAATGGGTTCGGATTTAAGAGTGCCAATTGGTAGAGTTCGGATTTACGAACGCCAATTGGTAAAGGTTTCAATTTCACGAAAACTAACCGGTAAAGGGGTTCGGTTTTACGAAAACCAACCGGAAAAGAGGTTCAAATTGACGAAAAACAACCAGTGAAGTGTTCGAATTTACAAAAACCACCCGGTAAAGATTCGGATTTACGAAAAGAAGCACTCCTGGTGAAATGTTTCCTTTAATAAATGTCCTGAACTGTACATAAGTATCTTTTCCCACATCTCGTCGGTGTCACCACGGCTCAGTGTTTCCACTCTACTGATATTTTACGGTTTTGAAAGAAAGCCGGTTACTAAACTCATTAAGGGTGTAGATGTCCAGCATTGATGAGAATGGTCCACCTGACCTACTTTTAATGCCTGTTTCTCCTTGTAAATGGAACCAACTACTATCCCCTTTTTATTTTATTGCTCAACTTCATGCAGTATTTATTCTGTGTACTTATGGCCCGGTGGCCTGGTGGCTAAAGCTCCCGCTTCACACACGGAGGGCCCGGGTTCGATTCCCGGCGGGTGGAAACATTTCGACACGTTTCCTTACACCTGTTGTCCTGTTCACCTAGCAGCAAATAGGTACCTGGGTGTTAGTGGACTGGTGTGGGTGGCATCCTGGGGGACAAGATTAAGGACCACAATGGAAATAAGTTAGACAGTCCTCGATGACGCACTGACTTTCTTGGGTTATCCTGGGTGGCTAACCCTCCGGGGTTAAAAATCCGAACGAAATCTTATCTTATCTTATCTTAATGGTGTATGCAGAGGAAAGGGAAATAGCTAAATATGTATTAAATAAAGAAAATGTTGAGTATAATTTCTTTTCCAAAAGGAGTTTAAGGAATATTGTCAGAAAGGAACTGTGCAGATGAACTTGAAGAACAGAACAGATAGGATCTTAGATCCTGTGGATATGACAAGGATATGACCTCTCTGACCCTCATAATGTTGTAATTTACGGAGCAGGATATTGTGGTCTATTATGGAAAGTCCCAGAGGATATTTATTATTGTTGAATTAAGTAGCTCAGGCATTTTTATAACAGCATCATTTGTACTTTTCTCAGCCTAAAAAAAAACTGGTAGATGTTAAATATATTGTGAGATATTAGGATGATTGTGGACATGTGAACTGTTCATTATAAGTTGTTCATGATTGTAACCATGTATAGATGTGTGGATGATTCATTACCTTTGTAACTTGTTCAACTATCAAAACTTTGAGGTACAGTCCCTGGACTCATTATGTACCTCTGTAATGTTGAGGTACAGTCCCTGGACACATTATGTACCTCTGTAATGTTGAGGTACAGTCCCTGGACTCATTATGTACCTCTGTAATGTTGAGGTACAGTCCCTGGACACATTATGTACCTCTGTAATGTTGAGGTACAGTCCCTGGACTCATGTACCTCTGTAATGTTGAGGTACAGTCCCTGGACCCATTATGTACCTCTGTAATGTTAAGGTACAGTCCCTGAACTTATTATGTACCTCTGTAATGTTGAGGTACAGTCCCTGGACTCATGTACCTCTGTAATGTTGAGGTACAGTCCCTGGACACATTATGTACCTCTGTAATGTTAAGGTACAGTCCCTGAACTTATTATGTACCTCTGTAGCTTAGCGCTACTTTTTGATTATAATAATAATAATAATAATGTACCTCTGTAACGTTGAGGTACAGTTCCTAGACTCATGTACCTCTGTAATGTTGAGGTACAGTCCCTGGACTCATTATGTACCTCTGTAATGTTGAGGTACAGACCCTGGACCCATTATGTACCTCTGTAATGTTAAGGTACAGTCCCTGAACTTATTATGTACCTCTGCAATGTTGAGGTACAGTCCCTGGACTTATTATGTACCTCTGTAACGTTGAGGTACAGTTCCTAGACTCGTGTACCTCTGTAATGTTGAGGTACAGTCCCTGGACCCATTATGTACCTCTGTAATGTTAAGGTACAGTCCCTGAGCTTATTATGTACCTCTGTAATGTTGAGGTACAGTCCCTGGACTCATTATGTACCTCTGTAATGTTGAGGTACAGTCCCTGGACTCATTATGTACCTCTGTAATGTTGAGGTACAGTCCCTGGACTCATTATGTGCCTCTGTAATGTTGAGGTACAGTCCCTGGACTCATTATGTACCTCTGTAACGTTGAGGTACAGTTCCTAGACTCGTGTACCTCTGTAATGTTGAGGTACAGTCTCTGGACTCATTATGTACCTCTGTAATGTTGAGATAGTCCCTGGACACATAATGTACCTCTGTAATGTTGAGATACAGTCCCTGGACACATGTACCTCTGTAATGTTGAGGTACAGTCCCTGGACCCATTATGTACCTCTGTAATGTTAAGGTATAGTCCCTGAACTTATTATGTACCTCTGTAATGTTAAGGTACAGTCCCTGGACTCATTATGTGCCTCTGTAATGTTGAGGTACAGTCCCTGGACTCATTATGTGCCTCTGTCATGTTGAGGTACAGGCCCTGAACCCATTATGTACCTCTGTAATGTTGAGATGCAGTCCCTGGGCCCATTATGTACCTCTGTAATGTTGAGGAACAGTCCCAGGACCCATTATGTACCTCTGTAATGTAATAAAGTTGGTAGAATTACCGACAATATGTAAAGTAAAAGGACACAAATGCAACTAATGTGACATTTTATTGTGGCAACGTTTCGCTCTCCAGGAGCTTTATCAAGCCATTACAAACAATAACAAACAATAACAAGCTCTACAAACAAACCTACGGCATGGGAATGGGGTCCCCCATCAGTGCCGTCCCAGCCAACTTATACATGGAACACCTCGAGTCCGAACACTTCGCCAACATCATCCCTTCAAGCGTCACTTGGTTACGTTACGTGGACGACGTCCTCGTAATATATAACCCTTCTGGAAGTTGCTGTCACTGTGTCTATGGTTCCTGGTAACTAGATTGAGTTGATAGTTAGGTTTGCGTATGTTGGTGGTAAATTTGAGTCCCAGACTCAATGCTTGTTTCTCGTAGTCGGTTAAGGTGCGTGACGATAAGTTGTTAGGTAAGACACATATGCATCAGTTAGATATCTTTATTTCGAAACGTTTCGCCTACACAGTAGGCTTCTTCAGTCGAGTACAGAAAAGTTGATAGAAGCAGAAGAGACTTGAAGACGATGTAATCAGTCCATCACCCTTAAAGTTTTGAGGTGGTCAGTCCCTCAGTCTGGAGAAGAGCATTGTTCCGTTGTCTGAAACAATGCTCTTCTCCAGACTGAGGGACTGACCACCTCAAAACTTTAAGGGTGATGGACTGATTACATCGTCTTCAAGTATCTTCTGCTTCTATCAACTTTTCTGTACTCGACTGAAGAAGCCTACTGTGTAGGCGAAACGTTTCGAAATAAAGATACCTAACTGTTGCGTATGTGTCTTACCTAACACAATTAAATGTCACATTAGTTGCACTTGTGTCCTTTTTACTTTACATATTGTCGGTAATTCTACCAACTTTATTACAAAAATGATCTCACACACTTCTATTCCAGTCAAGATACCAAGACCAAAAGAGGCATCATCATCGGGTTTTTCCTAAGAGCGTAATACCGAATTTGTAGTCCTGAGTTTCTTGACGAGGAATGTACATACATTCACCAAACATTCACTGAGTTACATTTTCCTTCTTTTTTCATCAAAGACTGCAAGAAAAGAGCTCTTAATATCATTAATTCTCCACGCATCAACACCACTCCCAACAAAGTTATAATTCTTCCCAACAGCCAGGTTGCACTGAACGTCTCAAAAGTACTTTCACCAGCTAACACCAGAGTCCCCTCAAGGAAGGTTCCTTGATGCTGGTGAGGGGCTCTTGATATAGGGAGCTGTATAGTCCTTGTGGCTTAGCGCTTCTTTTTGATTATAATAATCTTGATCTAGGGAACTGGATCTGTGCTCCAGTTCCCTGAGTTAAACCTGAATACCTTCCATCCCTCCCCCAAGCACTGTATAATCCTATGGGTTTAGTGCTTCCCCCTTGATTATAATAATAATAATAACACCAGAGTCGCCATCGCTTCTAGCACTTCAATCAAGGATCTAACCAGGACAAAATCCAAGCACCACGAACCAGTCAATGCAGGAGTTTACACTATACCCTGTGGAGGCTGTGACAAGATTTACGTAGGTGAAACAGCAAGAAACCTCGACACCCGCCTCAATGATCACATTTACGCATGTAGGAACGATAACTTGAACAACGCTTGTGTACAACACCGAAATTCCACCAATCATCTTATGAAATTCAGAGACGCCCAATTAGTGATCAAAGAAACTAATTTCCGCACACGCAAGTGCCTCGAATCAGCACTGATCGCTGTTTCGAATACAATTAAACAAAACAACGGCAGCTTCACCATCTCCGAAGTCTTAGCAAGAATCCTCCTGAAAACAGTAAACCCTGCCATCACATAGTCTCTCCTGTTATACTACACAAAGCACATTACAGAGAGTGAACACTGAAACAAGCTGCATCTTTCCAGTCTATATTTGTCCAACCTATTTTTATGTTACCCAAGTAATAGCTTTTATATTCTTTTACTCGTGTACGAATTAATTGCTCTACCATATTGTATTACTTTTGTTGTTGTTGTTACTACTACTACTACCACTAGTGAACATCGAAATGTTACCTCACTAGTATTGCACCTCACTCTGAGCCTTTATATACCCTCTGTGTCCATGTATTGTTTGTAATGGCTTGATAA